CTGGCACCCTGTCTGGTCTCTACCTCCCCTCGTTCTCGACGAACCTGGTGAGTGGAGCTGACCTACAGGATGCGGGTATCCACCAGTTCACTCCTGCTCGTCAGCGGGTGACACACTGCACGGAGGCTAGCACAGGTCGCCACCTGGCTACGTTTACACGTCGGCCGGGGTCAAGCCTGTACACACTGACCACTGCTTCTCCTCCAGGTACTGAGTCTGGTAGAGTCCCTTCGTCTGGTCAGGTGTTTGCTGCAGCGTCCAGGTCTGGTCCTGAGTCTGCCCCCTGTTCGTGTCGTCGTCTGTCTCACGAGACCCTCCTCTGGCACCACCGCCTTGGCCACCCCTCTCTGCTTCGGCTCAGAGGTATGGCCTCCCGTCTTCTTGTGTCTGGTCTTCCCCGGTCCCTCCCTCCCCTTCCTCAGGGCCCTGGCCCTGCCTGTGTCCCCTGTGTCGAGGGGCGCCAGCGTGCTGCCCCTCACTCCTCCCAGTTTCCTCCGACAGAGGCCCCGTTGCAGACGCTTCACATGGATGTGTGGGGCCCAGCCCGCGTCCGTGGACAGGGTCACGAGCGCTACTTCCTGCTCGTTGTTGACGACTACTCGCGTTACACCTCAGTCTTCCCCTTGCGCAGCAAGGGTGAGGTCACTGAGGTGCTGATCGACTGGATCCGCGCAGCTCGTCTTCAGCTCAGGCATAGCTTTGGCTCCGACTTTCCTGTGTTGCGTCTGCACTCGGACAGAGGCGGAGAGTTCTCCTCTGGCCTTCTGCGTGCCTACTGTCGTGCGCGAGGCATCCGCCAGTCCTTCACGCTTCCGGACTCCCCGCAGCAAAATGGGATTGCTGAGCGCCGCATTGGCATGGTCATGGACGTCGCCCGTACGTCCATGATGCATGCGGCTGCCCCCCATTTTCTGTGGCCGTTTGCGGTCAGGTACGCAGCGCATCAGATCAACCTTCACCCCAGGGTCTCTAGGCCGGAGACCTCCCCAGCCCTGCTGTGGACGGGGAAGGTTGGCGATGCGTCGGCGTTCCGGGTCTGGGGATCTCGGGCGTTTGTCCGCGACTTGTCTGCGGACAAGCTGTCCCCTCGCGCTGCTCCCTGCGTCTTTCTGGGGTTCCCCCCCGACGCCCCTGGGTGGCAGTTCTACCACCCCACCTCTCGACGTGTTCTGTCCTCCCAGGACGTCACGTTCGACGAGTCGGTACCCTACTACCGCCTCTTCCCCTACCGCACTCCGTCCCTCCCCCCACCCCCGCTCTTCTTGGTACCAGGTCCCCCCCCGGTAGACCCCCTCCCCCCTCAGGGTCCTGCCCCTTCAGGTGTGTCCCAGGTAGACGCGGTCGAGCCTGTAGAGGTCACTGGTGACTCTGGTGCTCCTGGGGGTGCTGAGCCTAGGGGTGCTGCGCCTGGGGGTGCTGAGCCTGGGGGTGCTAAGCCTGGGGGTGCGGAGTCTGGGGGTGCTGAGTCTGGGGGTGCTGAGCCTGGGGGTGCTGAGCCTGGGGGTGCTGAGCCTGGGGGTGCTGTGCCTGGGGGTGCTGTGCCTGGGGGTGCTGTGCCTGGAGGTGCTGAGCCTGGGGGTGCTGTGCCTGGGGGTGCTGTGCCTGGGGGTGCTGTGCCTGGAGGTGCTTCGTCTCGCCGAGAGCCACTCTCCCCACAGGAGCTGCGTGAGTGGTTTGCCAGGCGCTGGAGGCGTGCTGCTGGTGCTGGAGGTTCTTCGACTGCTGAGGGTGCTGCTGCCGAGCGTCCCGGAGGTGCTCGTACTGTGGGTACTGGAGCTGCTGGGTCTGAGGTTTCTCCTGGAGCTGGTGCTGCTGAGGGTGTTGGCGCTGAGACTGCCACTGGTGGTCCGCCTGGCAGTGCTCCTGGTGGTGCTGCTGGAGGTTCCGGAGCTACTGGAGGTGCTGCTGGAGCGGGTACTCCTGCTGGGGGTACTGGTGCTGTCCCTGCTGTTTCTGGCGTCGCCGCGCGGCCCCGACCGTACTTCGTTCCGCTCCTGCAGCAGGTTCTTGGTCTTACACCTTCTCCTGGTCCTCCTCCTCCTCCCTTAGAGGGTCCACCGCCTGTCCAGTCACAGCCACCGCTACAGCCTGCCTCCCCTTTGCCTGCTCCTTCTCCCTACGCTGGTCCGACTGGAGGTCTTACTGAGCGTCGTGAGCCTGCGTCTCGTCCTGCGTCGCCTGTTCGTACTGCGCGCGCTAGTGGTCGCGGGTCGCGTCAGCGTCCTCCTCCTGTCCCTGGCACGCACCGGATGTCACTGCGTCCGTCCACTGCTCCTCTGCGTGCCCCTTTGCCTTCTCCTCCCGCTTCCTCTATTCCTGCTCTTGCCGACCCGGAGTCGGAATCTCTTCGTGCTGCCTGTCCTACTGTCACGCGTCTCCTTGCTACTGCTGTCACTGACCCTTCCTTCGAGTCGTCTGCTGCGTCTGCCCTTGTCACTGAGCTTGTCGACTTTGCTGCGCGCTGTCGTCTAGACTACGCTGCCAGTCTTGTTGCTGAGTCTGAGTCTGCCTGTCCTCCGTCCGTCGGGGGTGAGTGTGCCCTTGGCACGGACGTCCTTGAGGACAGACAGGAGGAGTTCCAGTGTCTGGACGCCGCTTCACCTCATCTCGCGTCTGTACTGCTAGCCCCTGAGGGAGACCCGGATGCACCAGACATCCCGACTCCGCGCTCTTACGCGGAGGCGATAGAGGGTCCCTACTCCTCTCAGTGGCAGGCAGCTATGGATGCAGAGATGGCTTCCTGGAAGTCCACAGGCACCTACGTTGACGCTGTTCCCCCTCCTGGGGCGAACATCGTCAGTGGCATGTGGATTTTCAGGGTGAAGCGGCCGCCGGGTTCTCCGCCTGTCTTCAAGGCGCGTTACGTAGCTCGTGGCTTCAGTCAGCGGCAGGGGGTTGACTACTTTCAGACCTTCTCCCCCACCCCGAAGATGACCACTCTTCGGGTTCTGCTGCACGTTGCTGCTCACCGTGACTACGAGCTGCACTCTCTCGACTTCAGCACCGCCTTCTTGCAGGGCAGCCTGCACGAGGAGATCTGGCTGCGTCGCCCACCTGGCTTCACTGGGTCGTTCCCTCCTGGTACCCAGTGGAGTCTCCGGCGTCCAGTCTACGGTCTCCGGCAGGCGCCACGTGAGTGGCACGACACACTGAGGACTACGCTTGCGGCACTTGGGTTTGCTCCTTCTACTGCCGACCCGTTGCTGTTTCTGCGCACCGACACCTCTCTGCCGCCGTTCTACATCCTCGTGTACGTCGACGACTTGGTCTTTGCCACAGCTGACACTGCTGGACTCGCCTACGTGAAGTCCGAGCTGCAGAAGAGACACACGTGCACTGACCTGGGTGAACTGCGCAGCTACCTTGGCTTGCAGATCACCCGGGACAGAGCACGCCGCACCATTACCCTGACTCAGTCACACATGGTGCAGCAGGTCCTTCAGCGCTTCGGCTTCACGTACTCCTCGCCTCAGGCCACTCCTCTGCCTACTCGCCACTCGCTCTCAGCTCTGCCTTCGGATGAGTCCGTAGAGTCGAGTGGCCCGTATGCAGAGCTTGTTGGCTGCCTCATGTACCTGATGACCTGCACACGACCTGACCTTGCATACCCTCTTAGCATTCTCGCACGCTATGTTGCTCCTGGGAGACACCGACCAGAGCACATGGCTGCAGCGAAGAGGGTGTTGCGCTACTTGTGCAGTACGTCGGGCATGGGGCTAGTGCTTGGAGGGCGCAGTCCAGTGGTCCTCACTGGGCACGCAGACGCTTCTTGGGCTGACGACCAGGCTACGCAGCGGTCGTCACAGGGTTACACCTTCAGCCTTGGTTCCGGCTCTGTTTCGTGGCGGGCTACCCGCTCGTCTTCTGTTCTCGGCTCCAGTTGTGAGGCTGAGATCTACGCTGGGGCTATGGCTGCACAGGAGTTACGCTGGCTCACCTACCTGCTGACCGACCTTGGAGAGCAGCCTCGTTCTCCTCCAGTCCTGTACGTAGACAACAAGGCCATGCTGGCCTTGTGTCGAGAGCAGCGACTGGAGCACAGGACAAAGCACATTGCTCTCCGCTACTTTCTTGCTCGTGAGCTACAGCAGCGTGGACAGTTGCGACTTGTGTACGTGGCCTCTGAGGCCAACACTGCTGATGTGTTCACCAAGGCACTTGCGCCTTGTGATCATCAGCGTTGCTACACGCAGCTGGGTCTTGTGTCTGTCTTGCCTCACTTGCTCACTTCTTGACCTTACTTGTACCTTCACCTATATATAGTCTTGCTCTTGCTTGCTTGACTCTTGTATATCTCTATATATGATCTTGCATGTGAACTGGCCTTGTGGCCCTTGAACTTGTGCTCGGAATGTGTGGTGACTTTGTGATCCACCTTGAGCTTTGCTTTGCTTTGCTTGACTGGTCTTGTGACCCCTTGTTCTCCCCCACTTTGCCTATGGGGGTGTGTCAGAATATTATAGCTTACCTATTTGTGTAGGCTATAGTGGGGTATCCCATAGGGGGTACAACCCAGCTAGGGTTTCCTATTTGTACTCACTTCGTTCATAGTTCACTCATTCTCTCGTTCACTTCTTCTCAGGGAGGCAGAGACCTGACAGGGTGCTAGAGGGGGCTACCAGGCACGGTAAGACAGTGGAGAAGCTAGCAAGGACAGGACCCCCAGAGGGGTCTGCCAGGGAGACCGCAACCGGCCGACTAAGCGGCGTAAGCGTGGTGCGGTCGCGAAAGAAGGAGTGGGAAGCACCCGAGTCAAGGGTGAAGGTGTGTAAGGCATGAGCCGACATAGTACCTGAGAGAGCAGACTCACCAGCACCTGGGGTAGCAGACGCACTAGCACCTAGAGCGGCAGCCGCAATGCCCGGGTCAGGCGGAACACACAGGTAACAGTCACCCTCAACACTAACAGTCACAGCATACATGGCAGCAAGAATAGCATCATAGTCAAGATCAAAGATGGCAACCCCCGCCCTAGACAGATCTCCCCAGCGAGGGATCTCTTACGCCTCAGGGAACTGGTAACGCCACGCGCCCGTCAGGCGGCCGAAGCAGCGCTGGGTGGAGTGCGGGCCCCCGCACTGCTCACTAGCGCGGTCGCCGGTACGGAGAACGGAAGTGCAGGGACCAGTACCCCGACCGCGCTGACGCGCAGCATACAAGTCACGAAGCTGCTGAGGGGACAGGGTCTCACGACTGCGCTGCTGGTGCTGGCGCGGACCACCACCGGACCCACTCCTCTGCGTAGAGTCGCGAGCAGCTCCACCGCCGCCGTCGCCACCGGCGTCTCCGCTACCTCCGCCACCTCCGCCGCCTCCGCCACCTCCGTCGCCTCCGCTACCTCCACCACCACTGCCGCCTCGTCCGGGTGACGATGTAATAGAGGGTGATGTACATGGGGGGGGAGTTGGTTCTTGGCGCAGAACTCAGCAGGAAGCGCAGCGCGATAGCGAGTGTCACTGGTGCGGAGTTGCGTAATGAGGTCAGCGACTGTGGGAAAGGCAGCAAGGTCAGGGAAGAGGTACGGTAGCATGAGGCAGTGGTAGGGGAAGAGTAGCGTGCAACTACAGCGTCGTACAAGGTCTGGGCACTCTTGTACTGGCTAAAGTGTGCACGCTCAGTGGTTGGTAAGTGGCGACGCACAGCAAGACGGGCAGCAGCATCGCGTGTCGCCCATTGTGAGCGAACAGTGCTGTCAGCAGTAGCAGGCGGGGCAGGGGAGGCACCAGAGGTGAGGTCGAACAGAGAGAGACCGTCTGCCCTATCGCACTGGAGGAACAGCTGGAGGTCATCGACCGAGACCTCAAAGTCAACAGCACGACCCTCAGTGTGAAAGGTAAGAACACTGGGGGTAGCCATGACTGCAGAGGTCTAGCAAGGAGTGAGCTCACCAGTACGTGTAAGTAGGGCTGGGGCGCGCCGGTAGGACTGGTAGCGGCTCGACGGCAGGGCGGCTCGGTGGCTCAGCGGCTCGGCTGCTGGACGGCTCGGATGTCGGGCGGCTCGGCTGCTGGGCGGCTCGGCTGTCGGGCGGCTCGGCGGCTCGGCTGCTGGGCGGCTCGGCGGTCGAGCGGCTCGGCGTTTCGGCTGCTGGGCGGCTCGGCGGCTCGGCTGCTGGGCGGCTCGGCGGGTAGGCGGCTCGGCTGCTGGGCGGCTTGGCGGCTCTGCTGCTGGGCGGCTCGGCGGCTCTGCCGCTGGGCTGCTCGGTAGAGGCGGCGTTGGGGGCGCTAGGGGCAGCGACGGGGCCGCTTAGGGAGGGGAGCGGTGACGGGGGCGTGTAGTGGCGGCGACAGGGCCGCGTAGAGGCAGCGTCGAGGCCGCTTAGGGGCGGCGACAGGGCCGCTTAGGAGCGGCAGCGGGGCCGCTTAGGGGCGGCGACAGGGCCGCTAGGGGCGGCGACGGGGCCACGTAGGATGGGAGGCGGCGACGGGGCCGCTAGGGGCGGCGACGGGGCCGCGTAGGGTGAGAGGCGGCGACGGAGCCGATAGGGGCGGCAACGGGGCCGCTAGGGGCGGCGACGGGGCCGCGTAGGGGTGGCGACGGGGCCGCGTAGGGACGGCAACTGGGCCGCGTAGGGTAAGAGGCGGTGACGGGGCCGCTAGGGGCGGCTACGGGGCCGCGTGGAGGGCGGCGACGAGGCCGCTAGGGGCGGCAACGGGGCCGCATGGAGGGCGGCGGCGAGGCCACTAGGGGCCACTAGGGGCCTGGAAAGGGCGGCGAAAAAGGCGCGCCTCGGGCAGGAGCGACTGGCGTTCCGGTCAGAGAGGAAAATTTCAGTGGTGGGCCCAAGGAAGCGTTCCCACTAGGGAACCTGCTCTATACCATGTGAAGAATGAGGAATGAATGAACTAGCACAAGGTTGGGTACATGTAGGAAACCCTAGGAAATTGTTCCCCATAGTGTCTACCCCACTATAGCCTAGACAAGCTATATAATATGAGTTTGACAATCGCTGCTGCTGTGGCGGTTGCTGACTGGTTCGCAAGGAGTTTTTCGAGTCGTGGGAGCGCCGCATGTATTTGCTTATGCTCAGCACGTAACTCCGCGATTTTCTGTACTGAAATATCTCCTTTTCCCTCAATTTGGCGATTTACAGGAAGATGCGCGACGAAAAAAAACGAATTCTAGGTGCTGGTCAACTTACTGCGAGTCAAGTTGACTAAAGGATCGACGAGCGCGAATTTTGTAGGTCGCGTAAATCTCCCTTGAGCGAAACTCGCGTCCGATCTTGGTCGTTGAGGAGAAAATCAATCCGACGCTCCGTATTCCAACGTTTTTGGGCGAAATTCTCTGGGCCGTTGAGATGAAACTCAATCGAACGGTCGAAACTCCAACCCTTCCACCATTAAATCAGAGGGGTGTTCGAAAACCGAATCGAGGGGGACTTAGAAAAATTGCGCGGAACTGGTTTTACATACCGTATCGGCGCTTTCGTCGTCGCCCCCGCGCTTTTTTAAAGGCCGGAACTAAGCGGTTGAAGACCTCACATGAAAACCTGCTCTGATTACCAAGTGTAAGGATCTAGGATCGATCTCAAAAAAGAGAATGTGAATTGAATGAATTGAATGATCACCTAGGTACAACACGAGGCTATATATAGGCTCGACACAAGGTCCTGTAACCAGGTGTTACGCGAAGGTTCCGCGGGTCGCGAAGTGTCCCGAACAGATCCTTACCGAATTCGGTAGAAGGCAATTCGGTGGCAACCGAAAAGCCAGAATTCGGTGCACGCAACCTAGCTCGGTGCTATAACTATAATAAAATATAGGAAAGCACCTAGCCTAGGAAATCAAGCAATTCATGCATGCATATAATTATCCTTTGCTAGAAATAGCATGATCAAGTAAAGGCAAGCAAGCATAGCTGGCATAAGCCGTCTGTCAGAATGTTATATTTGTTATCTAGCCTGCAGTGGGGTACTCTATAGCGAGTATAACCCCTTATGGTTTCATATTTGTATCTCATTGCTTGCTAGTACAACTCTCTTTTGCCTAACTTCTTCTTGCCTAGCTAGGTTAGTCCTAGCTATGGCTTCTTCACCTACCTACCTACTTTCACATAATAATCAGAACAATATGCTCCTGGCCTGTGTGCCTAACCACGATCCTTCCGCTGCAACTACTCTTCCCTCTTTCCGCCGTGCGTCCCGAGGCGCGCGGCGATTTTTCTACCCGCCGTGCGCCCCGAGGCGCGCGGCGCTTCTCTTCCCGCCATGCGCCCCGAGGCGCGCGGCGGGTTACTTCCCCGTCATGCCGCGCGCTGGTCCCGGGAGTCGCTGTGACGGGCGACGGGGACCCGCCCGTCGCCCGTCGTGGCCTGCGCGCGGCCCGTACAGGCAGCGCGCCGCCCGTACGGGCTGCGCCAGGCCCGCGCGCCGCCTGTACGGGAGAGGCGACCTAGGGGGTGGCGAGTAGGGGGTGGCGAGTATGGGGGTGGCAGTTGTGCCTTCCTCCCTTTACTCCTCCTCCTCCTTCGTCTCCCACTGCTGCAGCTGTCGCTGAGGGGGGTGGATGAGTGGGAGACTGGGGCTTAGGGTTTAAGGGGGGTGAAGGGGGAGTGGAGCTAGCGGTGTAGCAGCGGGTGTGTGCCAGGGGGAGTGGGATAGTTTGGGGAAGCTCCAAGGAGGTTGCCGTCGTGTCGCCAGCAGCACCTGTATTCCGGGGACTTCGTCCGGTAGCCCAGTCGTAGCCAGCTGTGCCAGCCGCCCGTGGGTCCGTTGCTCGTCTGCCGCTACTTTAGCCGCGGGGCCAGTTACTCCTGTAGTCCGGGGGCTTCGTCCGATAGCCGCTGTGCCAGTCTGCCTCCTGTTGCCCGTGTGTCTGCAGCTTCATCCGTCGCCTCCTATCTCCTCTCCTCTCAGTCTCTCTCGTCCTCCTCACTTGCCCGTTGTGACTACCTCTAGCTTTGCATATAACTGTGAACTTTATACTACTGCTGCTTGAACTTGTGCTCAGACTGTGTGGTGACATTGTGATGCACCCTGAGCTTGTTCTGTTTTGCTTGCTCTGCTGGTTACACCCCACTTTGGCTATGGGGGTGTGTCAGAATGTTATATTTGTTATCTAGCCTGCAGTGGGGTACTCTATAGCGAGTATAACCCCTTAGGGTTTCATATTTGTATCTCATTGCTTGCTAGTACAACTCTCTTTTGCCTAACTTCTTCTTGCCTAGCTAGGTTAGTCCTAGCTATGGCTTCTTCACCTACCTACCTACTTTCACACCGTCGTACTCTCACAGTGAGCCTGCGTCTCGTCCTGCGTCGCCTGTTCGTGCTGCTCGCACTAGCAGTCGTGCTCCGCGTCCACGTCTTCATGCGGTCCCAGGCACGCACCAGATGGTACTGCGTCCTTCCACTGCTCCTCTGCGTGTCCCGTTGCCGTCTCCTCCAGAGTCCTCTCTTCCTGTTCTTGCTGACCCAGAGTCTGACTCTCTTCGTGCTGCCAGTCCTACTGTCATGCGTCTCCTGGCTACTGTTGTCACTGACCCTTCCTTTGAGTCCACTGATGCGTCGGCCCTAGTTGTTGAGCTTGTCGACTTTGCTGCTCGCTGTCCTCTAGACTACGCTACTAGTCTTGTTGCTGAGTCTGAGTCTGTCTGTCCTCCGTCCGTCGGGGGTGAGTGTGCTCTTAGCACGGACGTTCTTGAGGACAGGCAGGAGGAGTTCCAGTGTTTTGCTGCTGCTTTGCCTCATCTCGTGTCCACGCTGATTGCCCTTGAGGGAGATCCGGATGCACGAGACATCCCGACTCCTCGATCGTACGCTGAGGCGATCGAGGGTCCCTACTCCTCACAGTGGTAGGTAGCCATGCACACAGAGATGGCTTCCTGGAAGTCCACAGACACCTACGTCGACGAGGTTCCCCCACCTGGGGCGAACATCGTCAGTGGCATGTGGATTTTCAGGGTGAAGCGGCCGCCGGGTTCTCCGCCTGTCTTCAAGGCGCGTTACGTGGCTCGAGGCTTCAGTCAGCGGCAGGGAGTTGACTACTTTCAAACCTTCTCTCCCACCCCGAAGATGACCACTCTTCGGGTGCTGCTACACATAGCCGCTCAGCGCGACTACGAGCTTCACTCTCTTGACTTCAGCATAGCTTTCCTGCAGGGCAGCCTGCACGAGGAGATCTGGCTGCGCCGCCCACCTGGCTTCACTGGGTCGTTTCCTCCTGGTACCCAGTGGAGCCTCCGGCGGCCAGTCTACGGTCTCCGCCAGGCGCCCCGTGAGTGGCACGACACACTGAGGACTACACTTGCGGCTCTTGGGTTTGCTCCTTCTACAGCCGACCCGTCGCTGTTTCTGCGCACCGACACCTCTTTGCCGCCGTTCTACATCCTCGTGTACGTCGACGACTTGGTCTTTGCCACTGCTGACACTGCTGGACTTACCCACATGAAGTCCGAGCTGCAGAAGAGACACACTTGCACAGACCTGGGTGAACTGCGCAGCTACCTTGGCTTGTAGATCACCTGGGACAGAGCACAGCGCACCATTACCCTGACTCAGTCACACATGGTGCAGCAAGTCTTTCAGCGCTTCCACTTCACATACTCCTCGCCTCAGGCCACTCCTCTGTCTACTTGCCACTCGCTCTCAGCTCTGCCTTCGGATGAGTCCGTAGAGCCGAGTGGCCCGTACCCAGAGCTTGTTGGCTGCCTCATGTACCTGATGACCTGCACATGACCTGACCTTGCATACCCTCTTAGCATCTTGGCACGCTATGTTGCTCGTGGGAGACATCGACCAGAGCACATGGCTGCAGCGAAGAGGGTGTTGCGCTACTTGTGCAGTACGTTGGGCATGGGGCTAATGCTTGGAGGGCGACGTCGAGTGGTCCTCACAGGTCACGCATACGCTTCTTGGGCTGACGACCAGGCTACGCAGCGGTTGTCACAGGGTTGCACCTTCAGCCTTGGCTCCGGCTCTGTTTCGTGGTGGTCTACCCGCTCGTCTTCTGTTCTCGGCTCCAGCTGTGAGGCTGAGATCTACGCGGGGGCCATGGCTGCACAGGAGCTACGTTGGCTCACCTACCTGCTGACTGACCTAGGAGAGCCGCCTGGTTCTCCTCCAGTTCTATACGTAGACAACAAGGCCATGCTAGCCTTGTGTCGGGAGCACAGACTGGAGCACAGATCGAAGCACATTGCTCTTTGCTACTTCCTTGCTCGTGAGCTGCAGCAGCGTGGTCAGCTGCGCCTTGCTTACGTGGCCTCTGAGGTCAACACTGCTGATATCTTAACCAAGGCACTTCCGCCTGGTGATCATCAGCGCTTCTGTACGATGCTAGGTCTTGTGCCTACTTGGCCTCACTTGCTCACTTCTTGACCTTGCTTGTACTGTGATGTTTCTATACCTGCACTTGCCTGTTTACCTTTATATATGATCTTGCATGTGAACTGGCCTTGTGGCCTTGCTCTTGTGCTCGGACTGTGTGGTGACGTTGTGATCCACCCTGAGCTTGCTTTGCTTTGCTTGACTGGTCTTGTGACCACTTGTTCTCCCCCACTTTGCCTATGGGGGTGTGTCAAACTCATATGCTATAGTCTGTTTAGGCTGTAGTGGGGTAGACCATATGGGGTACAACATTTCTAGGTTTTCCTACTTGTACCCACCTCTTTCCTAGTTCATTCATTCCTCATTCTTCACAGGTCTATCACTTGAAAACCAGGTAGCCCTCCGCTTCGATGGCGAGGTGTGTTTCACAACACAACCCCCGCCTGAAATTTCCCTGCTCTTGATTGGCTATACAAATTCGCCAATCCCCTCCCCAACCCAACCTTACGAAATTATCGCGGAGTCGCCGAGGGTTGTTTCTCAACCGAAAATCTTCACGAAACTGGCGGATTTCGCCAGTTCCGTTTGACCAGCTCGCACCTACTGATTTCGGAAGAGGGTTTTTCGTAAGCAAATAAGTGTGCGTCGTTGGGTGTGCATCTTAAATAACCCCAAAATATACCGCGAAGTATGTATACCGCCGCTTTAACCCACAGGGGCAACGACCTGTCAATCTGCCGCTATGCCAACACATCCTGACTAGACGCGCAGCTTGTAAATTACTTGAGAGTCGACAGAATCAAAAAGGAATGGGTGCGCTTCAAAATCGAAACTCATTACTGTTATTAGCAGGTTTCAAAATTGAAATAATGCATGCGCTATAAAAAATCAGGGTTTCACTGGGGAGCGCTTAGTTTTGAGTTCTGGCCATAAGCGCCATGCTCCAGATATAAGCGCAGGCGCCTTTAATAGGACGACGCTTATATCCGGGGCCATGCGGTATTTATATTGTCGGCCCAGGATCACCATATATCAATGTTTCCATCTCCCCGCTCCTTCCCATTCCTGTTTCCGATATGCATTGTTATTCAACGTTGAGAATAGAATCCTGCTCTTAAAAACGAATCATTATCAATCGTACAGAACAGATGGGCTGAGTTTCTGGGGATGCATGCTCATGGCACACATTTGGATACATACTGTACACACTTCTATATAAAACCAAATCAGGTTATCATAACAGTTTTTCACAAGCTTTCGAGCTGTTCTGCAGGCCATCGTGTCTGCTCAATGACAGCCGTTGCGTCACCCTCATGCATGACTTGCTCATTCAGCAATGCAAGGTCCTCCTCCATGCTCCTCCGTAACTGCTGACTCGACAGCTTCTCGTCTACCCTCGCTGCAGCTCGCGCTCTCGCGTCCCCCCCTCCTACCTCCTCTCGTATAATTTCCAGGTATTGGGCCACTCGGGACATGGAGGGGCGGGAGGCGGTGGGCATGGCAGTGCAGGTGACAGCGAGGTGGGCAAGGCGAATGGTGATGTCATCAGGTGCTTCCATGCGCGGATCCCTGAGGGGTGATGTCTTCCCTTCTGCCATGAGATCCGTTGCCTGGGATGTGTGGCAGGACAGACACAATGGGGGTGGGGGGCAGGAAACACATGATGGAGGGCTGGAAGATACATGATAGAGGGCGGTATGATCAGGAGTGGGAGAATGCATGACACGGGCGGGAAGCACATGACAGGGGCACAACAGGTGAAGGGAGCCCTGAAGAGTACGAGCGTAAGCAGTTGCGATTCGAGCATTAAAGAAAGAACAGTGCAGACACTGATGTGCGGAAGCGGGAATAGGAAACACACCCATTTAAAACACACCCATCTAAAGACACATCCATTCGAAGACACACCCATTTGGAGATGGAGATTGGCTCGTGGCTGTCACAGGCGTCTGACTGAGTGGCTGGGCTGATCGCACTGATGGTGGCTCCTCTTCCTGATAGCATCACCAGCATGAGCACGCCAAAGCTGCACCACGAAACACATCCAGGAACAAGAAAGGGATAGCTCCCCTCAAATGAAGGCCATGGTCACGAACGCACAAATAGCTCCCCACAGACGAGTTCTTGGTGGCCATGGCCACGAAGGTTTGTGGCATTGATGGTGGCTCCTCTGCCAGAAAGAATTACCACCATGATGCTAAGGTGAACCATGAAACACATTCAACTGTGAAACACGAAATGAAACAAGGAGGCAAGGATCGACTCATGTTATACGCTCGAAAAGCTATGGGAAAGAAGCATTGGCAAGCACCACCTCACAATGGGAGGAGAGAAAACAAGTGGGGGCAGATGGCAATAGATGGAAGAAAAACTAGCTATTTTGGGATGTTGGAGCGCGCATTAAGCCTCAACCCTCGCGTATCTCATTCTTTGATTGAACGTGCATTCGGCAAAGTAGAGGCTGTGGTTCGACCCATGATGCCCTCAAAATCACTGTTTGGCACGTGTCGTCTACGTCACTGTACAATTGCACATCGCAGCCCACCAGTGACGGTGGTGGTGTCACTTGGCTTAAAAACTGGCATTCATATCTGCACTGCACCTGTAAACGTCAGCAGTGGTGGTGGCGTTATGCGTGAGCGAGTAAGCAGGGTCCACATAGCCCACCGTTCCCAGCACTCGCGTGAAGCCCGTTGCCGTGCCCTCCCCCACGTGCACAAGCCCAAAGTCTGCCACCTTCGCCTGAGAAGGACGGGCACGGGAGGCAAGACGAGAGGCGGAGGAGGATTAGGGAAACATGGTTTCATATGATTCAGACAGGATGAGATTATCTGATTGGGAGTGTGGTTTGATATGATTCGAAGATGGTTGTAACACCTGACCACCGCGCCTGCACTCCCTTCGATACGGGGTCTTTTAAAGCCCAAAACGAATGGAAGAACCACGAACGCCTTATCATGCGGAGAAAGTGTCTTGCCAAAATCTCATCACTGCACCGCACCGCACCTGCATGTGGGCGTCAAGGAGGATGTTGGCTGGCTTGATGTCGCGGTGCACGAGGCCAAAGCTGTGGAGATACTCCAACCCACGTGCCACCCCTAGTAGGATGCCCATCCGCTGCTGCAGAGTCAAACTCGTGGGCGCATCTGGAGAATGACAGAGCAGAGGCAAGCATTGGAGGGTAGCAGCATTGGAGGGAAGCAGCATTGGAGGGAAGCAGCATTGGAGGGAAGCAGCATTGGAGGGTAGCAGCATTGGAGGGAAGCAGCATTGGAGGGAAGCAGCATTGGAGTCGCTGCTTTGCACAGGAACAGGACCCAGAAGCAATTAGCAACTCGTATGAGGAAGGCCAACCCAGTTTTGCCGAGTCAAACTTGCGGGGTCAAATGTGAACTGTAAGACATGGGAACTTTTGAGACATGGGAACCGGCATCAGCGTCTCAATTGTGTACTGTAAGACATGGGAACCGGCATCAGCGTGATTGGCACTTCACTCTCACCGTGGTCGGAGCTTCCACTGCGCCTGCATTCGCCAACTTGGAGCTGGCAGGTGGTTTACAAGCCATGGCTTGGCCACTGGCTCTTGTGGATAGAGCATAGAAGCACTTCAGCCTCTCTTTATCCTACACGTCTGATCCCTCTATTCACACAGATGACTCATGGTTGACACAGCACACAACAAGAAGGACCAGATAATACCTGGGGCGATCCAGCTGCTACACAACAGAGGACCGGGCAGTACCTGGGGCGATCCACGTGCTACACAACAAAATGGACGGGATGGTACCTGGGCCAATCCAGTGGCGCAGGTCGCCGTTGGCGATGAACTCGTAGACGAGAATGTTCTCCACCCGCGTGTTCACATGGCCTCCCACTGCATACCCCAGCAGCCGCACCAGATTTGGATGGTGCTTCGTTGCCATCTGCGCCACCTGTGGTAGAGCATAGGAGAGAGGATAGGAAGGAAGGAAGAATTGACGCAAGTGCTTCGTTGCCATCTGCGCCACCTGTGGTTGTGCAAAAGAAGAGAGAGGGGGAGGAAGGAAGGAGGGAATGACAGTAGTGCATGTTGACTACAAACAAGTGCATGAGGACAGAGAGAGGCAAGCCTTTAGAGTCGACTCAAAGTCCAGCTGAGGCACTTGCATAAGATAATGAACAGAGAATAACCGAGACTGGTACAGACAGACTCGTGAGACACCTGAAGCTTCGTGACCATCTGATTTGTAAGTGCGAGGCCAAAAGATTGGAGAACAGCAAAGGGACTGACGTGGACAGAACCCAGGTAAATCGGTTTTCGATGCACACAGAAATGTTGTCATTAAAAAATTCACACACGTCTTGTGTGTCAACGCTTTCATCATTACATGTCATTCAAATATTCCCCAGTTTTATTCCTTTTTTGTTGGAGTAGCCTAACTTCTGCTCTGTACTGGCTATATATATTATTGATATTCTTTAGAGTTGGTTTCATCCTAGGTTTGACTCATGCGTGGTTTCCTACAAGAAACATGCCCTAGGTCCGGATGGGGTTTTGCCCCGACCTATTTTACACCCTTGTACCTTCACAAGCCTAGTACACTTTTCCTCTCATTGATTTTGGCTCCTAGCGTTCGTAACACACTTTCTCCTTCCCCTAACTCCTTGTGAAGTGAAGTTCCTGTTAGGGTGACCCACGGTTTTTGCCAAGGCAAACGGTCTGAGCCGTGGAAAGTCGAAAGAAGAGTTCATTAAGGCATGGCTGATCATGATACCTTCTTGGTGTATAGAGGTTTGACTTTTCTTAGAACACTCTGTTTCAGTATTTTCGTGCTTTCTACTTTTCTTTCAATCCTCCTTTCTTTCTTTGGCTTTCTTTCTCTCAGAAGTGTGGCACACACACAATATTGAAGAGAAGGACAAGAATATTCGACAGTAGACAGGCCGAAGAAATATATATCTACACACATATGTATACACACACATAAATATATACATTTATATGCATATATATTTACACGCACACACATATGTATATGTCACCATGCTTAAGATGGCAAAATCCCACAAAAACGTATCCCCTAGTCGCCCTTGCTTGTCTCAAGGCAGGAGATACCCCGTATGGTACACTTCTTCAAAGGGGTATAGTTTCAAGGCGCCCCACAAATAGTCGTGCCGAGGGTGGCCCACCTCTCTGTGGAAGCCAGCTGTGTTGGCTTGACGCACCTCTCTGTGGAAGCCAGCTGTGTTGGCTTGACGCACCTCTCTGTGGAAGCCAGCTGTGTTGGCTTGACGCACCTCTCTGTGGAAGTCAGCGGTGATGACTTTGGCGCGCTTCACGGCCCACAGCGTGGAGCCATCCTCGGGGCACACCCCGCGGTACACGTCTCCATATGACCCCGACCCCAGCAGGCACTCCTTGGACCAGTTGTTGGTTGCACGGGCCACCAGCGCCAGCGAGTACCGCCGACATGGTGTTGTGTTCCCTAACTGTGGGCTGGGGGAGTCTGTATGTGGGCAGCATGGCATGGTCGGTAAATGCCAGTGTTTTTTTTTTTTTTTTTGTGAGAAGTAGTAACACAGCTGAGAACACAACTGTTTTGCAAGATACGTTAGAGAAATGATATGGAGTTGATATGGTGCTCATTGCTAAAATCTGATAGACTTGAGGTGGTTCTCACGCACCTGCCTGTGCTCCCATCCCATGACAAAAGGTAAACATGTAACATACCTACCTCTTGTGAAAATCTTGAAGCGGGTGGCAAGCCACCAAGCTGAGGCGAGCAGGAGAAGCAAGAGCAGAAGGGCTGCTATCACAATCCCAATGACAGCTCCCACAGACAGGCCGGATTGGGAGGAGGGAGCGGATGAGGTGGAGGAGGGCAAGGAGGAGGAGGAGGGATTGACGGGTTGATTGGGTGATGGGGATGGGGATGGTGGAGGGGAGGCCACGCTTGGTGATGGGGATGGGGCTGCTGCAGAGGGACACATGCACAGGCACACCAGACTCACAAGCATTCAAACACCAGAACCACAAGTGTTGAAGCACCAGAATAACAAGTTGAGAAAATAGTGTTCCGGCTGTGCGCGCATGAGGCTGGAGTAGAATAAAAGGCACAACTTGGCGTTGGCTGGCATGACGTGGTGTTGGCTGGCATGGCGTGGCGTTGGCTGGCATGACGTGGCGTTGGCTGGCATGATGTGGCATTGACTGGCATGACGTGGCGTTGGCTGGCATGACGTGGCATTGGCTGGCATGACTTAGCATTGATTGGCAGGGAAATGGCATTGAGAGTGGCGTGACTTCGCATCTATTGGTGGAATGGCATTGGCTGGCATGGGTGGGTGGGACTTTACACTTGATCGGCGCGGTTTTACTTGGCAGAGCCTAGTTCTGACTGGCAACGCTCCAACCAGCTCACCTTCATCTATAGTACACGTGGCACAGAAGCTCATGCAGTCGTAGCAAAAGCACCCTTTGGGACGACTCATGCAGCCTTAACAGAAGCACCCTCTAGGGTCCACTCATGCAGTCGTAACAGAAGCACTCTTTAGGGTCGACTCACGCAGTTGTAACAGAAGCACCCTTTAGGGTCCACTCATGCAGTCGTAACAGAAGCACCCTTAACGGTTGACTCATGCAGTCGTAACAGAAGCACCCTTTAGGGTCGACTCATCGGAAGCACACTTTGGGTCGACTCATTCAGTCGTAGCAAAAGCACCCTTTGGGTCGGCTCAAAAACTGTAATGCCCCAAAACAAATGAAATGCTCACATTCATCACTTGTGCACGTGGCACAGAAGCCATGGCAGTCTTGACAGAAAGAACTGTAGTTCCTTTGCTGAACCACACAGCTGGAAGCATTTGGAGGGCAAGTGAGACCCGAACCTGATATTTCACTATTGGATGGAAGGAGATGGTGGATGGAGGGGGGTGAAACAGGGCGAGGGGGGTGAAACAGGGCGAGGGTTATCACACGCATCGAAGGGGAATGCCAAAGCATGATGAGAACACAGGAAAGGGATGGCAAATACAAGGATGTGTCTTATGCATGTGACATGCAGCCTGCAATAGGAAAGGAAAAGCAAGAGGACATGATGGTGAAAGCAAGAGGAGATGATGGTGAAAGCAAGAGGACATGATGGTGAAAGCAAGAGGACATGATGGTGAAAGCAAGAGGACAAGATGGTGAAAGCAAGAGGACATGTTGGTGAAAGCAAGAGGACATGATGGTGAAAGCAAGAGGACATGATGGTGAAAGCTAGAGGACATAATGGTGAAAGCTAGAGGACATGATGGTGAGAGCAAGAGGACATGATGGTCAGAGCACCCAGCACAGCAGGTCACTCACAGAAAGATGAGGCCTTCGGAGCCGCCGAGAGCAGCAGGTACCGGGCCTGAGAAATTGTTGTCACTGAGGTATCTGCAATGCAATAGACGCGCAACCAGACACCATCCAAGACAATGGAAGGAGCGGCACGAATGTGTTGAGCGGCATGTGCAGACGGTTGGATGCGGTGTGGAGGAGCAAAAACGACAGCAACCAAAACCTAATCCGGTAAAAAACACAATAGTGGCAATATGCTGAACTCTATTGGTGGCCAGCGCCCCATATCCCCAACAACAGCCCGGAGGTTGTTTCCAGGAGGGGCGGGGGGGAGAGGGGTTTGGGGAGACAGAAAAGCGTGGGAAGGATGTGGGTGGTGTGGACGGCACTGCATGTGGCTGTGCGTTATAGAGGGTACACACATAACACAAACACATGGTACATGTACAAGAGCACACATAACACAAACACATGGTACATGTACAAGAGCACACATAACACAAACACATGGTACATGTAGACAGCGCAGCAGACGAGAGGAGCAGCACAGAGCATCACACGCACAACCTCATTTGAAGGTAAGTTTCGTGCAAGATTGCAACGAACACATGGGTTGTTTGCAGCAGAGCAGCACAGGTCACACTGGCAATGCAACGGACAGTCCTGATGCAATGAATGCCGTGAGTGCATGTATGTATCACTCCACCCTCAGGCATAGGATGCAACTGGGGTACTGCTCAGTGCTCATGTCACTACCACAGAGCAGGTTGGCAATAGTCACTCTCTTTGCAATGCACTCACAGCCATCCAATGCTGGACATCTCTGTAATCCACAGAGGAAATGAGCCACTCAGGTTGTTGTGGCTGAGGAACCTGTGGAAGAGCCAAATGATTCAAATGAGCCAAATGATTTAAATGAGCCAAATAATTCAAATGAGCCAAATGATTTAAATGAGCCAAATAATTCAAATGAGCCAAATGATTCAAATTAGCAAAATGATTCCAATGAGCCAAATGATTCAAATGAGCCAAATGATTCGAATGAGCCAAATGATTCAAATGAGCCAAATGAACCAAATGTGAATCGGCACATAGGTACATAGATCCATGTCCTCATGCATGAACCAAATGGATACTATGTCCTATAAGCACATAGATCCATGTCCCCATGCATGCATGCACCCATTCATCCACGTCCCATGCATGCATCCATGCGTCCATGTCCCCATGCACCCACGTGCCCCTGCTGCCTTGTGAATCGCGACGCACAGCTGAAACAAGCCAGAGAGGCGCGAGAGGCTGGTGGGGAGGGTGCCGGTCAAGTGGTTGTTGGAGAGATCCCTGCCAGCTCATGCAACGCAGTCAAAGACGGCACACACAGTAACAGACGGCACCCACAGTGACAGACGGCACACACAGTGACAGACGGCACCCACAGTGACAGACGGCATGGCACAGAGTGATGGCGCTTCTCCAGTGATAAGAAGGTACAACCGACAGACCTACACGGCATGGAGTGGAAGGCACACCGAGTTGGAATGGCATGTTGTGGGGGTGCGAGAGAGGGGAGGGAATGTAATCAAAACAAGGGTATGAGAGAGGGGAGGGAATGCAATCAAAACAACCCTGAGAGTCTGGTTCCCACCATGGCTGTAGGATGAAGACGATTGAAGGTGGGAATCCAGATTGGAGGAATCATTGAGCGATCTCACAATTTCCGAATATCCTTCATGTTGCCAATGCCCTCGGGGATGGTTCCCTCCAGCTGGTTGTCTGACAAGTCCCTGCAACACACTCGTCAGCGTTGTGAGACACATCATTGAGAGCTTGTTCACAGCCTTGTCCCTGCAACACACTCGTCTGCCCCGTCATTCACATCATCGATCATCGGCTGTTCGTTCCTACTGCACGAGTGGAGGGGAGGGGAGGTGGCGCCGTGCACAGCAGATACTCTCGTGAAACAAGAGCATGAGCAGAGGTGGGAAGGTGTTGGGAGCAAGCACGTGATGTTGCCCCTCTGGTCATGTATTGCTGCGAGAGGAGAAACGAAACAAAAGGAAGTGTATACTCTCTAGAAGTGTACTGCTGCCCCTCTCACCTCCCTGCATCAGCTGCAAGGGAAACCTGCAATGAGAGGGTGGCGTTGGAAATACTAATAGGCTGTTTTTGAGACAAAGCACAAACAAATAATCAAACCGAACCAGTTTTGTTTTGGGGCTCTTGAACTCGAACAAGTTCCACCTGGCAGGCACTGATTTGCCGTTCGAGGTTCGACCCTTATGGGTAGGTAGAACTGAGCCAGCTTGAACCGAACCAGAGCCGGTTCGGTTCAAATTGGTCCAGGTTCGGTGCGACCAGAACATTCTCTACAAAAAAACTTAGCTACGATTGTGGCCCCAGCCTCAAAAAAACTTAGCTAGGCAGATACAGACACCTAAACTACCGTGGCAAAACGAAGAGAAGATACAGTAAGGGTTCGGATTGTTGCTCATGCCTTGAGACGTCTCATGTGAGAAAATTTTTCAACTCGCAGAAGTCTCAGGACCAACATATGTTGAGGGGGTTCGACAATGGTGGTACTGACAGGCTGCTGAGCTTGTTAAAATACATTGTGTAGCATGCCAACACATGTGACTGTACGCCAATTGTGGTGTACAGTTGGGTTGGGACTACACCCAACTTTGGGTGTAGTCTTGCACTTTGGGGTGCCAATCCACCCAATTGTGGTGGAGCCCCCAAATGCAACCCTCTTGACTTGTGGGTACCTCACTTCCCACAATTGAGGCTTCCCCAAGCCAAGTGGGCCTAGGGTTGCCTCACTTCTACAAAGTGTGGGCAACCCAACCCACTTGACCAATGGTTCCCTCACTTCCCAAAGTGAGGTCAACCCAACCTATGGTCACTTTGATCCTTCCCTTCCATTCTCCTCTTCCAACCTTCTCTTCCAAACTATGTATGCTAGGTTGTGACTCTAATTCAATCACTTGTTCAATCCACAATCTTCACATGGTATAGAGCTAGTTGTTCCTAAGCCTTTTTTTTCCCTCCCTTCAAGTTTTCCATGGGCCCACCCCACAGCCACAAACCCCCTACGTGTGGCTCAACCTAGCACCCCCGTGGCACGACCTACGCCGTCGCCACTCTTCACTCCCCCCTTTTTTTTTCCCGCCGCCGCGCCTTCTCTGGCGCCGCCTGCGCATCCCGCCGCGACGCCTCGTCGCCGCCTCCTCCTCCCCCTGCAGCGACCCCCCCGTCGCCGTCTCCCTCCCGCCGCCGCGCCTACTTCGGCTTCGCCCGCGCATCCCTCCGCCACGACACCCCTTCGTCGCCTGCCCCTCCCACTGCCACGAAGTCGCGTCGCCGCCCCCCCCCCCCCCCTACCGCCGCCGCGCCTTCCTCGGCGCCGCCTGCGCATCCCGCCGTCGCGACGCCTCGTCGCCGCCTCACCCCACCGCCGCCGCGCCTTCCTCGGCGCCGCCTGCGCATCCCGCTGTCACGACGCCTCGTCGCCGCCCCCCCCCCCCCCCCCCCCCCCCCTACCGCCGCCGCGCCTTCCTCGGCGCCGCCTGCGCATTCCGCCTTCGCGACGCCTCGTCGCCGCCTCCCCCTACCGCCGCCGCGCCTTCCTCGGCGCCGCCTGCGCATCCCGCCGCCGCGACGCCTCGTCGCCGCCTTCCCCTACCGCCGCCGCGCCTTCCTCGGCGCCGCCTGCGCCTCCCGCCGTCGCGACGCCCCGTCGTCGCCTCCCGTCCCGCCGCCGCGACTTTGCGTCGCCGCCTGCGCTCCCCATCGCCGCGACCCCCCCCCCCCCCGTCGCCGCCTACGCATCCCGCCCCCGCGACCCGCTCGTCGCCGCCTACACGATCCGCCGCCGCGACTTCGCGTCGTCACCTACGCATCCCACCGCCGCGACCTTCTCGTCGCCGCTTGCACGACCCGCCGCCGCGACTTCGCGTCGCCGCCTGCACATCTCGTCGCCGCAACCTTCTTCCCGCCGCGACCTAAAGTCACCGCCCGCGCGACCGTTTGCCGTGACCTGCTCGTCGCCGCCCGCATATCTCATCTCCGCGACCTAAAAATCGCCGCCCCTGCATCTTACCTCCGCGCCTTCCTCGTCGCCACCCGCGCATCCCGCCACCGCGCCTTCCTCGTAGCAGCCGCCTCATCCCTCAGCAGCGGCATCACTGGCAGCAACAGCCCCGCCCACACCTACACCTGCGTTCTCCCTCCCACTCCCCCCCCGTTTTTCTCTTCCCCCCCCCCCCCCTCTCCTCCCACGCAGCAGCAGCCGGGACACCTCAGCAGCCACAGCAGCGGCAGCGGCTGCAGCAGCAGCAGCGGCAGCAGCGGCAGCAGCGGCAGCAGCCGCGGCAGCAGCGGCAGCAGCGCAGCAGCGGCAGCAGAGGCAGTGGCGGCACCAGCTGCATTCCTCCTCTCCCTCTCCCTCCTCTCCTCCCCCTCCGAAGCAGCAGCGGCAGCAGCGGCAGCGGCAGCAGCAGCAGCAGCGGCAGCAGCGGCAGCAGCGGCAGCAGCGGCGGCAGCAGCAGCAGCAACGCAGCAGCGGCAGCAGCGGCAGTGGCGGCACCAGCTGCATTCCTCCTCTCCCTCTCCCTCCTCTCCTCCCCCTCCGAAGCAGCAGCGGCAGCAGCGGCAGCGGCAGCAGCAGCAGCAGCGGCAGCAGCGGCAGCAGCGGCAGCAGCGGCAGCAGCGGCGGCAGCAGCAGCAGCAACGCAGCAGCGGCAGCAGCGGCAGTGGCGGCACCAGCTGCATTCCTCCTCTCCCTCCCCCTCCTCCCCTCCCCCCCCCCCTCCCCCCCTCCCTCCTCCCTCAGTAGCGGCAGCAGCGGCAGCAGCGGCAGCACCAGCAGCAGCGGCAGCAGCAGCAGCAGCAGCCGAAGCAGACCTCCACTCCCCGCAGCAGCACCCCCCCTCCCCCTTCCCCCCGCCCTCCTCCCTCTCGGCTGCCGCGCTCGTCCACCCGCCGTCGCCCTCCCCCTTAACCGCCGCGGGTCCACCCGCCGCCGTTCACCTCTAGGCCGCCGCGGGTCCACCCGCCGTCGCCCTTCATGGCTACCACTCCTCCCCCTCTCCCCCCTCCCATTGACGCCTCCTCCGTCGACAAGCTTGAACTTGCCGCGGACCGCTCGGCGATCAACTGGCATTCCTTCGTCGGGAGCATCCGCCGTGTTCTCCAAGATGCATTCGTCGGACCTTACTGCGTCATCGACATCCTCCTCCGCCGCCCGCAAGCCCTCCAGCCCACAGCACCCATTCACCCCGGCGAACCCCCTCCACCCCCCATTCCTCCTGGTCCTCCTCCCACTGAACCCACCTTGGAAATCGCCACTACCCCGGCGCTCCAAGATGCCGCCGATGCCGCATTTCTCCACGATCGCCGCGAATACCTCATCCGCAAGGCGGAGTATGAAGTTGCGGTACACAACCACGACTTCGCGGTAGCGGAACGCGCCAATCGCCTGGCGCTCCTTGATGAGTACAATACGGCCATGGCGGACTACCTCCCTCGGAGCATCGCATGGGCCACTGCTGATAACCGCGCCTGCACCGTCCTCCTTGGCGCACTCCCTGGTACCCTTATGCGCCGTTTCCAAGCTCGCGAGATGCGCGCCTCCCTCATCTGGACCGAGCTCCAGGCGATGTTCGAGCGTCGCGACATCAGCTCTGTCGGCGCCCTGTTCCAAGAGTACTTCTCCATCACCCTCGCCACCTGTGATGGCGCAGTTGACTATGTGGGGCGCATGCAGGAGGTCGCTGATCGCCTTGCGGCACGCCAAGCTGCCCTCCCCGAGCCCCTGCAAATCCACCGCCTCCTCTACAACCTCACCCCGGACTACGAGTCCCGCCTCCATGCCTTCACTGAGGCCAACCCCATGGCCGGCCTCGATGACGTGGTCCAGTGGATCATTGACACGGAGGTCAAGCTACGTACCCCCGTTGTCAACCTTACCACCCCTCAGTCCTCCTCCTCCACCTCCCTCAACGCTACGCAGCCGCGCAACCAGGGTGGTCGCAGCGGCGGCGGCGGAGGCCGTGGAGCGGGTGGCGGTGGTGGTGGTGGAGGCCGTGGTGGTGGCGGTGGTGGTAGTGGTGGCCGTGGTGGCCGTGGTGCCGGTGGAGGTGGTGCTGGCAGCACCCCTGGTGGAGGACCTTCCGGTTCTGGTGGTGCTGTGACTCGAGGCGGACGCCCTGGCACTCTCCCCCCATGCACATATGTGCGCCGCCATGGTCCCCATGCTGGTACCCCTTGCGGCCAGACCAACCATCCTCCCACCACGTGCTTTAAGGCACTTGACGACGCCTGGTTTGATCGAGGCAACACTGGCACCCCTCCTCGCTGGAACTCGGTCTCACCTCGCCCCTCCTTAGTTGATATTCAAACCCTCCCCTCTTTCCTCCCTGCTCACCTCCGCATGGTTACCCCTTCCCCACCCTCCCAGCTGCAGCAGTTCCAGCAGCACCAGCAACAGCAACACCTGTACTTCCACCAGCAGCAGCAGCCGCAGTTTCTTCAGCCCCAGCAGCCGCCGCCGCCGCAGTTCTTCCAGCCACCGCCGCAGCAGCAGCAGCAGTTCCTTTCCCCACCCTGGCAGCAGCAGCCACTCACCTTCGGCACGGCGGCCATGGCCGCTCATACCTCCCTTCCTCCTCCTCCCCGCTGGGGTTCCCTCCCCTCCCCCCCCCCAAGTGTTCCCGACTCTTCTGGTAGTTTCCTCGGTAATATCAGTGTTGCACCGTCTGTCGCTGCCATGTATCCCTCTGCTATCAATGAGACTTCGTTTCAGTATCCCGTCCCACCCCCTCCTCCCTCTTCTCCCACCCTGGACTTTGTCCTTGACAGTGGAGCCACTGAAACCGCACTGAAAGATGCTGGCACTCTCACCCCACTACCACTTCCCACTCAGGTTCATGGAGCTGATTCCAGCTTTTCCATTCCATGCACTCACCTTTCCACCCTCCCTTGCTCTGCCTTCCCCTCCGGTAAGGTCACAGGTCTCCACATCCCCACTCTCCGCAACAACCTCCTCTCCCACCGTGAGCTCCAAGGTGTTGGTATCACTGCCATTTACCCCGGTTATGCCAATTACTGTGATCTCTACCAGACCTCCTCCGGTCGCTTCCTTCTCCGTATTCCGCTTTGCCCCCGCACTCGCCTCTACACACTCCGCACACCTCGCACATCTTTTTGCCACGTCACCACTCGTGCCGGTGCTTCCACCGGTCCACGTCCTCCTCCTTTACTCCCCCCTTCCCCTCCCACTCAAGTAACCTCTTCTCCCTCCCCACCATCCTCCTCCTCCCCTCCCGTTCCTTCCTGTACCCCATCTCCCTCCTCCTCCGCTGCCCTCTCCCACCCTGCTGTCCTCTTACACCACAGACTCGGCCATCCCAACTTCACCGCCCTTCGCACCACAGTCACCTCTCGCCTCCTCCGCAGCCTTCCTCCCGTCTTACCTCCCCTCCCCTCCTCCCCCTCTCCCCCATGCCCTTCATGCATTCACGGCAAGCTCAAGCAGTCCCCACACCACAGTCATCCCACCTTCGCCGCTGCCCCCATTGACCTTGTGCACATGGACCTCTGGGGCCCCTATCCCATCCGCTCCCGCCAGGGGCATCGATACATGCTCGTCCTCGTTGACGACCACAGCCGGTACTCCACCACCTTCTTCCTTCACACGAAAGACCAGGTGCCGGCAGTGGTCATCAACTGGGCCGAACAGTGCCGCAATCACTTCAAACGCCCCATCGGCCGCCTTCACTCTGATGGTGGGGGTGAGTTCATCAACAACACCCTTGCCACATACTGCGCCACCTACGGCATCCAAAAGACCTCCACCCTTCCCCACTCCCCTCAGCAGAACGGCATTGCTGAAAGCCGCATTCGTGAGATCACCAAGATTGCTCGCTGTCTCATTGCTCATGCCTCCACCCCTCCTTCCCTCTGGAGCTATGCCCTCCTCCACGCCGCCCTTCTCCTTAATCTCCGCTCCCACCCTCAGCATCCTTCCTCCTCCCCTACAGAGCTTTGGTCCAACGCCAAACCCGACGCTGCAGGCCTTCGCGTTTGGGGCTGCAAGGCATTCGTTCTTATCCCACCCGCCGACCGCTCCCACGCCGCTGGCACACTTGCTCCTCGCGCCCTGGAATGCGTTTACCTTGGTCACAATCGCGACTCCCCAGGCTACCTCTTCCTCCACCCTCCCACCAATCGCCTCATCCGCAGCGGCGACGTCGTCTTCGACGAATCTGTCCCCTATTACTCCATTCCTCCCCCTGATCCCCTCCCTCCTCCCACTCGTCCTCTTGCTTGGACCGACACCGTCCTCCCGCCCCTTCTCCCTCCAGCCCCTCTCCTCCCACCCGTCGCAGCTCCGCTCCCGCCCTCCTCCTCCGCCGATGTCTACGACCCTGACGCACCCGCCTCCCCCGCTCACTCGGCCGCACCCCCTCCCCCCCCTCCCTCCCCCTCTCCCTCTCCCTCCTTCCAGCAGCCGGATCAGCAGCAGCAGCAGCAGCAGCAGCAGCAGCAGCAGCAGCAACAGGGACAGCAGCCGGGGCAGCAGCAGCAGCAGCAGCCGGGACAGCAACAGCAGCAGCAGCCAGTCCAGCAGCAGCAGCAGCAGCCGGGACAGCAGCACCAGCAGCAGCGGCAGCCGGGACAGCAGCAGCAGCAGCAGCCCCAGCAGCCGCAGCACCAACACGGTCAGCCACAGCCGCAGCTACATGGGCAGCAGCTTCAGCAGCACCAGCGGCAGCAGCGGCGTCGAGCCACCTCCCGTTCATCCCCCTTCCTCCTCCCTTACATCCATACCCGCTCTGTGGACAAAATCCTTGGGGCTCCTCCTCCTGCCTCCATTTAGCTCCTTGAGGACTCCCATGAGGAGTTTCTTAACATTCGGGAGCACACTCCATTCCTTGCCGCCCTCTACCTTGACTTCCTGGGCTTTCCCGTCCTTGGCGCCACCACTACCCCCACCATCTTCACTCCCTCCACCTTCCAGGAAGCCATCACCTGCCCTGATGCGGATAAATGGATGGCAGCGATCTTCCTGGAGTGTGAGGCATTCATTCGCAACGACTCCTTTGTCGATGTCCCTCTTCCTGCTGGCGCCAATCTCGTCGACGGCAAATGGGTCTTTCGGGTGAAGCAGCTGCCGGGTGAGGAACCAGTGTACAAAGCCCGCTACTGCGCCAAGGGGTTCACGCAGACTTGGGCTGAGGACTACTGGTTCACCTATGCCCCCACCGCCAAACAACCCACCCTCCGCGCCGCCATGGACATTGGTGCGCGTGACGACATGGAAATCGACTCCATGGACGTCTCCAATGCGTTCCTGCAGGGTGACCTGCATGAGCGCATTTTTCTCCGGCGGCCCCCCGGGTTCCACGCAGCCTTTCCTGAGAACACTGTCTGGCAGCTGCGTCGCCCTGTCTACGGCTTGAAGCAGGCACCGCGTGAGTGGCATGCGAAGCTGGCTGCCACCTTGGGGTCTCTTGGCTTCTCTCCTTCCCACTCCGACGCCAGCCTCTTCATCCGCTCCTCCCCCCGCCGCTTCTTCATTCTGGTCTATGTCGACGACATGATCCTGCTCTCTGACACCAAGGCCGACATGGAGCAGGTGAAGCTGTCTCTGCAGCAACGGCTCAAGTGCAAGGACCTTGGCGCCCTCACTAACTACCTCGGTATGGCCATCACCCGCAACCGCCCTGCTCGCACAATCACCCTCTCCCAGTCCCATTACATCGGCCAGGTCTTAGAGAAGTTCGACATGACGCAGGCCAAGCCTGTTTCCACCCCACTCCCCTTTGGTCACCAGCTCGCTCCACCCACCTCCCCCACCTCCTCCACCCACCCCTATGCCGAGCTCGTTGGGTCCTTGATGTACGCAATGATGTGCACCCGCCCCGACCTCGCCTACCCCATCAGCGTGCTCGCTCGCTTTGTCGGCACCGGTCGTCACTCTGAGGAGCACTGGAAAGCTGCCAAACGGGTCCTCCGCTACCTTCGCGGGACCAAGGACCTTGCCCTCACCCTCGGCGGCCCTTCCCGTCCCCTTCTCTCGGGCTTCAGTGACTCTTCATGGGCCGACTCGCAGCCGGACCGCCGCTCCTCCCAGGGCTACGGCTTCACCCTTGGCAGCGGCCTCGTCAGCTGGCGCTCCACCCGCTCCTCCGCCATCTCTCTCTCCACCTGCGAAGCAGAGCTCTACGCCGGCACCATGGCCGCCCAGGAGTCGCGCTGGCTCTGCTTCCTTCTTGCAGAGCTTGGCGCCCCCCAGACATGCCCCACTCTCTGGTGCGACAACGCCAGCACCATCCACCTCACTCAGGACCCCGTCTATCACGCCCGCTCCAAGCACATCGAACTCCGCTACTTCTTCGTTCGCGACCTCGTCCAGAAGGGCCTCATTGCCGTTCGCAAGATTGCGTCCGAGGCCAACTTGGCCGACATCTTCACTAAGGCCCTCCTTCGCCCCGCGCACTCTGCTTTCCTCCGCCTCATTGGCCTTACTCGCCCAGACGCCCCTTGACTCAGGGGTTGTTCTCTTCTTGTGTTAGCATGCTAAGGGGTTGTGTTAAAATACATTGTGTAGCATGCCAACACATGTGACTGTACGCCAATTGTGGTGTACAGTTGGGTTGGGACTACACCCAACTTTGGGTGTAGTCTTGCACTTTGGGGTGCCAATCCACCCAATTGTGGTGGAGCCCCCAAATGCAACCCTCTTGACTTGTGGGTACCTCACTTCCCACAATTGAGGCTTCCCCAAGCCAAGTGGGCCTAGGGTTGCCTCACTTCTACAAAGTGTGGGCAACCCAACCCACTTGACCAATGGTTCCCTCACTTCCCAAAGTGAGGTCAACCCAACCTATGGTCACTTTGATCCTTCCCTTCCATTCTCCTCTTCCAACCTTCTCTTCCAAACTATGTATGCTAGGTTGTGACTCTAATTCAATCACTTGTTCAATCCACAATCTTCACAGAGCTTGTGAGGCTGCTGATGGGAGGGCACAGCAGATAAGCTCTTGCAATGGGTAGGAACCCCCAAAGCAGCATGAGGTGCAAGGGTAGGCGCCTCCAAAGCAGCATGAGGTGCAAGGGTAGGCGCCTCCAAAGCAGCATGAGGTGCAAGAACAGGTGGTGGTGGTGAGCGACTGACAGGCTGCTGAGCCTGGTGAGGCTGCCTATGGACTCGGGAATGCTGCCTGACAGGTTGTTCTTCCACACGGAGCTGTTGCATGCCGTGAGGGCCAGGGGTGCATGCAGGGTGGACGGATAGGGATGCAGGAGGGGCAGATAGGGGTGAGGACTCGGGAATGCTGCCTGACAGGTTGTGCTTCCGCATGGAGCTGTTGCATTGCATGCAGTGAGGGCCAGGTGTGCAGAGTGGTGGATACGGGTGCAGGAGGGGCGGGTAGGGGTGCGCGAGTGAGAGCAGTGGCACCGGGGATAGGGTGCAGTGATGGATAGGGTGCAGTGATGGATAGGGTGCAGTGATGGATAGGGTGCAGTGATGGATAGGGTGCAGTGATGGATAGGGTGCAGTGATGGATAGGGTGCAGTGATGGATAGGGTGCAGTGATGGATAGGGTGCAGTGATGGATAGGGTGCAGTGATGGATAGGGTGCAGTGATGGATAGGGTGCAGTGATGGATAGGGTGCAGTGATGGATAGGGTGCAGTGATGGATAGGGTGCAGTGATGGATAGGGTGCAGTGATGGATAGGCCAGGGCAGGCATGAATGAGCATGAGCTGGACATATCAGTTTCACTAATTATTGGAAATGGAAATTCACCGTGGAGAGGACGGGTAGGTTGTGAAGAATGAGACTGGGGACTAGGCTGACCAACAAGAGGAAGGCTGGAGCTAAAACATGAGCTTCAGATTTTCAACGAATGCTCCTACAAGGAAGGACCCCTTCGCAAAAATTAACGCAAGGGTCCTGGGTCCAGGCCTTGCCAGGCAGCGCTTCGAGGCGAACCGGCGCGATTCATCATTTGGCAATCCTGTAGTCAAACCAGCTAGACGGGCCAGACTGGGCTCGCCTGTCTGTCCTTGCCTAGGAAAGGGAGTAGGAGGGATAGGGAGTAGGAGGGATAGGGAGCAGGAGGGATAGGGAGCAGTGGCGGATAGGGAGCAGTTGAGATAAATGCAGTAGGGAGAGGTTGCGGTAGGGATAAGATGCAGTAGGAATAAGATGCAGTAGTGATAGGGTGCAGTGAGGGATAGGGTGCAGTAGGGATAGGATGCAGTAGGGATAGGATGCAGTAGGGATAGGATGCAGTAGGGATAGGACGCGGTAGGGATAGGGTGCAGTGACTTGCAGACTGCATGATAGGCATGAACTGCACTACTGCATGAGATGGCATGCATGTGATGGCATGACTGCATATGATGGCATGAGAACATGTAGGAAGAGCAAGGGGCGAACACGAACATGTTCGTGTTCGCCCCTACACGAACACATCCGTTTGCCGAACCGAACACTGTTCGGTTCGGCGAACACTTTAAGCAAAATAGGTGTTCGCCGTTCGCCTGTGAAGGCGTGTTCGGGCGAACCTCGAACACGTTCGTGTTCGTCGCGGGGCAAATTGCAGCAGAGGCCCGAACACGAACATGTTCGGGCGAACCTCGAACACTGTTTGGCGAACACTTTAAGGAATCGAGGCGAACCGAACAGGTGTTCGTTTTTTTGCTCATCCCTAGGTACATGTGATGGTACGAATGCATGTGATGGCACGAATGCATGTGATGGCACGAATGCATGTGATGGCACGAATACATGTGATGGCACGAGTGCATGTGATGGCACGAATGCATGTGATGGCATGGGTACATGTGATATCATGAGTGCATATGATAGCATGAGGACATGTGATGGCATGTGTGCATGTGATGGCATGAGTGCATGTGATGGCATGAGTGCATGTGATGTTACGAGTGCATGTGATGTTATGAGTGCATGTGATGGCATGAATGCATGTGATGTTATGAGCGCATGTGATGGCTGGCAAGTGATAGCATGAGAGCGTGTGATGATATGTGTCAGATATCGTCAGCACATGTGAAGACATGGCATGTGATAGCACGAGAACATGTGATGGCCATGCCATGCCACAATCCCAACAGGAAGGGGTCGGAGAAAATACAAGGCTTGAAGTTTGATGGTTCACAAAACTTGAAGGCTGATGGGTTAAAAAACCAGAAAGTTTAGGAGTTAAAACCAGAAGGTATATATTTATACAAGACTTCGAGGTGGATGGTGCTGCCAATCGACTCTGGTATGCTGCCAACGATTCTGTTGTGAGCAGCCTCTCTGCAACAAGCCCCACATGCACGATGACGTAAGTGGAATGGACCAGGGTATAATCGCACAATACGACTTTTGAGACCAGGGTATAGTCGCACAATACGGATGAATACAAATTTTGCTGGCACAGTTGCACCACACCGCATTAACCATGAACACCAGCTGAATTCTGCGGAGTACATATATTGGCCACATTTGTTGGCTCTTCGCTTAAAATAAGCGGGCATGGAGGTGTAAGAGGAATCTATTGGGAATGGAAGGGATACGGGGGGAATAAAGGGGACGAGGGATTTATCAACCGAGGAATTTTTGGATGGATTAGGCTGGATAGGTTGGCGATGAAACACTTCACACCTAATCAGCCTAAACTGCCTTCATAAAAGGACGCTGGAACACAGAATCCAAGTCTAGCGAATGTCCAGTTTATTATCAACAAGATATACATTGGAAAGGGAGTGGAGCATGGACGGGAGGGGAAAAGAACATTAATATGTTTTTCTATGACCATGGGTGAGGGAAAAATAGCACAGATATCATACAATTTTCTGAGATTGGTGCGACCAGATATCCAGGATGGGAAGGGACCTGACAGATTCATATAGCTGAGGTATCTGCACAGATATGTGCAGCATCACACACACACACACACACACACACACACACACACACACACACACACACACACACACACGCATATGCACGCACGCACGCACACACACACACACACACACATACACACACACACACACACACACACACAGAGGCACGCACGCACACACACGCAAATGCACGCACCCGTGCGCATGCACACAAATGCACACACAACTCACACACATCCACACTCGCATGTGTGCAAGCGCACAACCATGCATGCACGCGTACACACAAGCACAAATTCACGCACTCACACACCCACCCATGGCACACACACACCAGCAAAGATGCACACAATTACGGATCATCATTTTCACAGAAACGGGAACTTTACGGGCAGTCAATGGTGGTGAGTCAAAGTGGAATGTGGTGAGATGGGAAACAGAGGCTCATTTACAGAGTTTGCAGCTTGGTAAGGCGCTGCATCTGGAGGGGAATGGAGCCCGTGAATTTGATGTTGAAGCTGAGGTCTCTGTGGACATGCCATCACCATGCCATGCCATGTGGACATGCCATCACCATGCCATGACATGTGGACATGCCATCACCATGCCATGCCATGTGGACACACCATCACCATGCCATGCCATGTGGAGATGCCATCACCATGCCATGCCATGTGGACATGCCATCACCATGCCATGGGGCAAAGGACGGTGTGCATAAAAGCTGATTGGAAGAAGAGGAGAATGGAGCAAGGACGGTGTTAATAAAAGCTGACAGGCATGAGCAAGGGCCCGGCTCAGAGCACGCCCAGAGGTGACGGTGCAGAGGCAGCCAGCCGTGGGTTCTGCACCATCAACGGCCCACCATGAGCTCTGCATAATCAACGGCCCACCATGAGCTCTGCATAATCAACGGCCCACCATGAGCTCTGCATAATCAACGGCCCACCATGAGCTCTGCATAATCAACGGCCCACCATGAGCTCTGCATAATCAACGGCCCACCATGAGCTCTGCATAATCAACGGCCCACCATGAGCTCTGCATAATCAACGGCCCCACCATGAGCTCTGCATAATCAACGGCCCACCATGAGCTCTGCATAATCAACGGCCCACCATGAGCTCTGCATAATCAACGGCCCACCATGAGCTCTGCATAATCAACGGCCCACCATGAGCTCTGCATAATCAACGGCCCACCATGAGCTCTGCATAATCAACGGCCCACCATGAGCTCTGCATAATCAACGGCCCACCATGAGCTCTGCATAATCAACGGCCCACCATGAGCTCTGCATAATCAACGGCCCACCATGAGCTCTGCATAATCAACGGCCCACCATGAGCTCTGCATAATCAACGGCCCACCATGAGCTCTGCATAATCAACGGCCCACCATGAGCTCTGCATAATCAACGGCCCACCATGAGCTCTGCATAATCAACGGCCCACCATGAGCTCTGCATAATCAACGGCCCACCATGAGCTCTGCATAATCAACGGCCCACCATGAGCTCTGCATAATCAACGGCCCACCATGAGCTCTGCATAATCAACGGCCCACCATGAGCTCTGCATAATCAACGGCCCACCATGAGCTCTGCATAATCAACGGCCCACCATGAGCTCTGCATAATCAACGGCCCACCATGAGCTCTGCATAATCAACGGCCCACCATGAGCTCTGCATAATCAACGGCCCACCATGAGCTCTGCATAATCAACGGCCCACCATGAGCTCTGCATAATCAACGGCCCACCATGAGCTCTGCATAATCAACGGCCCACCATGAGCTCTGCATAATCAACGGCCCACCATGAGCTCTGCATAATCAACGGCCCACCATGAGCTCTGCATAATCAACGGCCCACCATGGGCTCTGCATAATCAACGGTCCACCATACCATGGGGCTCTGCATAATCAACGGTCCACCATACCATGGGGCTCTGCATAATCAACGGTCCACCATACCATGGGGCTCTGCATAATCAACGGTCCACCATACCATGGGGCTCTGCATAATCAACGGTCCACCATACCATGGGGCTCTGCATAATCAACGGTCCACCATACCATGGGGCTCTGCATAATCAACGGTCCACCATACCATGGGCTCTGCATAACCAGGGGCCCACCATGGGCTCTGCATGCAGTCACGTGTGTGAGGTCCTCACTCATCGGTCTCTGCATGCAGTCACGTGTGTGAGGTCCTCACTCATCGGTCTCTGCATGCAGTCACGTGGTTTTGAGAGTTGGGATCGGCGTGGATCAAGGCGGGCCTGTGTTTGCTGGGATGATGGTCAGTGAGGCGTACTCACAGGTGTGAGAGGGCAGCCAGATGAGAGATGGCTGCGGGAATGGAGCCTGACAGTTGATTCCAACGGAAATCCCTGCCATGCATTTCACGGCGTCAAGCACACGGCGTCAAGCACATGGCGTCAAGCACACGGCGTCAAGCACATGGCGTCAAGCACATGGCACGGGTTAGGATGGAAACCACAAGAAGTGTGAATTGTTGACTCAGTGTGAGTTAGCTGAGAGATGATAAAAGTAGCATGGTGTGAAAGAAGAATTGATGCACTAAACAATGAGTCAAAAGGCTCTTTAGTACAAGCAATGAGCAAGGGAGAGATGAGAGGGGAGCTTACCCTATTGGCCAATAAGTTGGCCAATGGGTGAGCTTGCTTGTGGCCCAAGCAACCACAAATGTGTGTTGGTTGGGATTGGCTGAGGTAAGGACCAATCCCCACCAACCACAAAATGTGGTCGGAGGGTACACTAAACAACCCCCCAATTTATAAGAGTGCAAGTCTAGCCTATGCATGTTGTATAAAATATGGAATTTACAACACATGGTAGGACGGTTTAACAGGGTGGGTGAGAGAGGCAGCTCAAACCACCACTTCTTTCATTTTTCATTTATACCAAGTTCATACGTAGACATACGCACACACACCACGTTCTCATCAGGGGGCATAACATTCCCAATGCAGCTGCTTCTGCATAACGCACCACGCTTGTTTTCACCAGTTGGCATAACTTATTCGTGAAATGGCTGGTAATGCCTGGAGTGTTGAGGGATGCTTATATATATATACATATATAACAGACTCAATCACGGCTGGCTGGTGAAGTAAGCCAGGGCTGAGCTCCTAGGCGACTGACTCGCTCGTTATGAGAGAGCCCACCAGGGGTAGGCATGAACATGTTCGTGTTCGCCAGCGGCGAACATGTCACCAGGGTCCAGATGGCCCACCAAGCAACGAGCCATTGTACGCCCGTGACTCGTCCCTCTATGGTGAAGCAAGCCAGCGCCGCGTTCCTAGGCGACTGTTATGAGAGAGTCCACCCCGGGACCCACCAAGCGACGAGCCACCGTACGCTGTGGTTTTTGAGAATTCTCAAAAACTGACTTGTCCCTCTATGGTGAAAATGCGCGAACAGAAAAGGGGGGCTAGTCAGGAGATGAAAACGGAGGAGGGGGCGAGGCGTGGGCTAAGGTAGGGATGAGCAGAGGGCGAACTCGAACATGTTCGGGTTCGCTCCCCCTCGAACATATCCATTTCCCGAACCGAACAGTGTTCGGTTCGGCGAACTATTTGCCCTACAGCAGGTGTTTGCCGTTCGCCCCAGGGGGCGAACGATTTGTTTCTGAGGGCGAACTCGAACATGTTCGCTTCGAACATGTTCGAGTTCGCCCTGGGGGAGATTCGTTATAGTCACAGTGGTCAGAGAGGGGATTTGGAGGGTCGGGTAGATAGATAGGGGTGTGGAGGGTGTCTCTGTGTTCATGCAACGCACGCAAGCATACGGCACCCTCATGTTCTGTGAATATAAAATAAAAGTCTATGTAAAATAAAGTCCTACGCCTGAACTCCACTGCTACTACCAACAACAGCATGCTCGGTGTCGCCAGCACCCACCCCCTCCTGCTCCTCCCCCCCCTCCTCCTCACCCTCCTCCTCCTCCTCCTCATCGTCCTCCTCCTCCCCCTCGCCTTCAATGGCGAACTCTGGCGGTGCGACGCCCTTTGCACGGCGGCCCTCGCCTATCCTCTGTCCAGGGTGTGAACTGTACCATGATCTGAGAATCATGACAGCTCGCGTCCTCTGAGAGGCCAGGCGATGCCGCTTCCAGGAAATGAGGTTGCGGCGAACACATATTTTCATGTAGATGCCATGGCTATTAAAACCGCAAGGCTAGGGCTGTTGTGTGAGAGAGGGCTAAGCGCTAAAGGCGTTTTGAGTTTGAGCTCACGAAATGAGCTCAAACTCAAAACGGCCGCGACCTAAAATTGGTCGCGGCCAATTTTGACGTGAACACTTTTGTGTTCGCGGGGCACCCAATTCGAACACGAACGCGTTCGTGCTCGAATTTCCTTAGCCAAAATTCAGTGGCGAACGGCGAACATGTTCGGCCGAACACCGAAAATGTTCGCCTCGAACGATTTCGGCAAAAAAAAATGCCTGTTCGGTGGGATTTTGCTCATCCCTAGGCTAAGGGAGGGTACTGCGAGTCGGTTCACATGTCTCTAGATGTAAACCACACACTCAGGAGTGTATTGAGTCAACTCAAACGCAATGGTTACAGTGTTTTCATTCGGATGTCCCTAAATGTACACACACACACACGAGAGCAGGAACAAGAATGCTGGGCTGGAAGATTAAACGCACAACAAGGCAAGATTGGTGAGATGGAAGATCGATGAAGGGATTGCGCCAGTGAGCATGTTACCGCCAAGAGACCTATCCAGGCAGAGCATGGGGCATATGGGGAGCAAGGCATGTTAAACAAGGAGCACAATGGGAGCAAGAGCAAGGCACAACAAACAAGGGTCATACTGGGAGCAAGGCACAAGGCACAAGTGACGAAGCTCCTTTGCTGCCACGCGGTTACTGACGAAGGGTGTGTCTCCTGGCTGCACTGCCCCTATTACCCTTGACCCCTTTGCTTCTGTTCTGCCCATTCTATTCGGGCTGTGTGCGATGATATGACATGAAATGATATGATATGATAAGTTATGATACGATACGATACGATACGATACGATACGATATTATCTGATCTGATCTGATCTGATCTGATCTGATCTGATCTGATCTGATCTGATCTGATCTGATCTGATATGATATGATATGATATGATGTGATGTGATGTGATGTGATGTGATGTGATGTGATGTGATGTGATGTGATGTGATGTGATGTGATGTGATGTGATGTGATGTGATGTGATGTGATGTGATGTGATGTGATGTGATGTGATGTGATGTGATGTGATGTGATATGATATGACATGACATGACATGACATGACATGACATGATATGATATGATATGATATGATCTGGCACTAACTTCACCGGCATGTGAAGCAGCCCAGTTAGGCACACCTGGGAGCACACCATCAGCCCCTACTGAAGCGGCTTGTTGAGGCCAGCATCTCAAGAATCATCTGCACTGGCTGCAATCTCAAGCAACCATCACACACTTGCCCCGCTCTTCCTGCCCCCAGTAAAACTGCCGCACTAGTTCAGCACCCACTCAGGATGTTTGGATCCAGTCTAGCAAGAACACGATCGCCGCTATAGAAAATTCTTTGAGGCTCCTTAATAAGGAATCCAGTGAGAGCAGTCTGTAAGAGCTTGCGCTTAAATTGATGCATTAGGTAATGAGCTCATGGTTCTTAACTCTTAAGTACATCGGAAATGAGAAAGGGATGGATGGGAAGGGAATTGGGGGCATTTTATTCCAATGAGATCGGCTGAAATCTCCAAGGGTTGGTTGGATATTACGGTTGATCACATTCGGTTGAGGTTGGGATGTGGGTGTACACCCAACCCACACAAACTACAAACTACACTTAACTAGGATTTTAAAGGTTCAAGTACAAATGTTGATATTGAGGGCTAACTCTAACGCAGTCCTGTGAGAGCAGTCCAGAGAGCAGCATTGCCGTCTTGGCAAGAATGCAAGATCCATCAACCTCTGTCCAGTCCAATGCCCCCTTCAACTGGCGCTCTCACAACTTTCAGGCATCAGTAACTTCTGAACCAACTCAGCGAGCCATGCGCGAAGCGAATGCGAAGAGGAAACCTGAGCCTGCGAGGCTGACAAAGACAGACACAGCTCGGCTCGACGCAAGCCAAGTGACTTCTGAGTCAACTCAAGAAACAGATTGCGAATGCGAAGGGGACAAAAACAGGCCCGTGTGCACTCAGGCCAAGGGAGGGACTCTGAACTGAACTGACTTGAGTCACTTGAGACGTCTCAAAACACTTCTTCAAAGACTTGAGTCACGGACGGAATCATTGCCAAGTGACAAGGACAGGCCCATGCGAGTGATTCTTTAGAATTTTCAAAAAAACACTCACAGGCCCGTCTGAACTCGGGCCAAGGGACTCTGAGCTGAGTTGACACACGGAATAAGTGCCAAGGGGACAAGGACAGGCCCATCTCAACTCAACTCACGCCAAGCCCAGTTGTTATGAGAGCCACACAACACACTCAAAACGCGCTTTGGCTCGGCGGAAAAACTCAGCTCGGCGGAAAAACTCGGCTCGTGCGCGGCTTGGCTCGACAGGGAGGTGGCTCTCCCCAGTGCAAGCTGCTACCTTTACTACTGATACCAAGCTGATACCAAGGTGATATGTGTGTAGAATGAGGATCGGTGAACTTGAGGCACAATGAGAGAAGAACAATATATCCTTAGTAGGAAGATGGTACAAGCCTGAAAGGCTAGAGCAATGTCCTTTCCAAGGATGAGTTCTAGAGAAGTGGGAAGCCACATTTATGTGGCTGAACTCTTGAGGCTAGCTGCAGCACCTCAAAGCTGAGGGCAGGGCTAGCCAACCTTGCCAAGCTAGCAATTGAGGCCACATGTTGCACATGTGGGCCAGGCTGGAACAACAGCCTACATGGCAGCATGTGGCACACCATAGGAGCCAACAAGGTGAGTATGGGATGGGTGGACAGATGGCAATGCCAACTGTGACCACACTTCACTGTGGGTGAGTGTGGTGGAGTGTGGGAGTGTCATGTTCGGCATAATGAGAAGAGAAGGTGCTGCCGATGAGAGTTGAACCCGCGACCACTAAGACCAAAGGTACCCACTGGGACATTCTTGCTTCCACAACAATGTGAAATGTGACATCCGACTCTCACTGCCCCACGAAACATGGTTAAGTGACAGAGACAGTGTGCTGGGGCACTGCACGTAAGCAGCAAGGGTCTAGCAATGGCTTGTCCCTGTCCTTACATGCTGTGCAGGGAGGAACGCCCTCACAGGTAGGAGAGGAGAGAGAGGCGAGAAATTGCTGCTGGGATGGAGCCAGAGAACCAATTCCATCGAAGGTCCCTGCCATGTGCGCCGCACACAACATGCACAGCACGGGTGGGTCATTAAAAAAAAAAAAATGAAGCATGGTGTAGGAAAGTCAATTTGGGTGGGAGTCAGGCTTGCACTTGGCTTGGGCACACGAATTTCGACAGATTTCAGATGGGTCGGTCGGTCGGGCAGTACAATTGCCGGTCGCTTTCGTCAAACCAGCAACCCACTCTGTGCACCTCACGGACTGACCCACCCATCTCACCTTATCCCCCCCAGGGGACCGTGATGATTTTGGTGCCTGAACCCCAGAGTAACATGACTTGTGAGGCACCTTAGAAGAAGGCACCCAGCCCGCACCCCAGGGTACTGAGCCCCAGAGTAACATTACTTGAATGTCGTTGAAGAAAGCACACACAAACACAGATCTGCACAATGGCAGCCATGAGGTGAAGACACTCACAAGAAGGCGAGCTTCGTAAGCTGGAATATGGCCGAAGGAATTGTGCCCACTAGCCTGTTGGTTCCAACATTCCTGGTTAGGCGCAACGTGGGGCCCACGAGAAGCAGTTGATGCAGGCGAAAAGGCACAAGCAACAGAGCTTGTCATGGGACAGACCATTGCAGCATGGGCTCACTTGTCATGAGCAGCACTTGTCATGAGCAGCACTTGTCATGAGCAGCACTTGTCATGAGCAGCACTTGTCATGAGCAGCACTTGTCATGAGCAGCACTTGTCATGAGCAGCACTTGTCATGAGCAGCACTTGTCATGAGCAGCACTTGTCATGAGCAGCACTTGTCATGAGCAGCACTTGTCATGAGCAGCACTTGTCATGAGCAGCACTTGTCATGAGCAGCACTTGTCATGAGCAGCACTTGTCATGAGCAGCACTTGTCATGAGCAGCACTTGTCATGAGCAGCACTTGTCATGAGCAGCACTTGTCATGAGCAGCACTTGTCATGAGCAGCACTTGTCATGAGCAGCACTTGTCATGAGCAGCACTTGTCATGAGCAGCACTTGTCATGAGCAGCACTTGTCATGAGCAGCACTTGTCATGAGCAGCACTTGTCATGAGCAGCACTTGTCATGAGCAGCACTTGTCATGAGCAGCACTTGTCATGAGCAGCACTTGTCATGAGCAGCACTTGTCATGAGCAGCACTTGTCATGAGCAGCACTTGTCATGAGCAGCACTTGTCATGAGCAGCACTTGTCATGAGCAGCACTTGTCATGAGCAGCACTTGTCATGAGCAGCACTTGTCATGAGCAGCACTTGTCATGAGCAGCACTTGTCATGAGCAGCACTTGTCATGAGCAGCACTTGTCATGAGCAGCACTTGTCATGAGCAGCACTTGTCATGAGCAGCACTTGTCATGAGCAGCACTTGTCATGAGCAGCACTTGTCATGAGCAGCACTTGTCATGAGCAGCACTTGTCATGAGCAGCACTTGTCATGAGCAGCACTTGTCATGAGCAGCACTTGTCATGAGCAGCACTTGTCATGAGCAGCACTTGTCATGAGCAGCACTTGTCATGAGCAGCACTTGTCATGAGCAGCACTTGTCATGAGCAGCACTTGTCATGAGCAGCACTTGTCATGAGCAGCACTTGTCATGAGCAGCACTTGTCATGAGCAGCACTTGTCATGAGCAGCACTTGTCATGAGCAGCACTTGTCATGAGCAGCACTTGTCATGAGCAGCACTTGTCATGAGCAGCACTTGTCATGAGCAGCACTTGTCATGAGCAGCACTTGTCATGAGCAGCACTTGTCATGAGCAGCACTTGTCATGAGCAGCACTTGTCATGAGCAGCACTTGTCATGAGCAGCACTTGTCATGAGCAGCACTTGTCATGAGCAGCACTTGTCATGAGCAGCACTTGTCATGAGCAGCACTTGTCATGAGCAGCACTTGTCATGAGCAGCACTTGTCATGAGCAGCACTTGTCATGAGCAGCACTTGTCATGAGCAGCACTTGTCATGAGCAGCACTTGTCATGAGCAGCACTTGTCATCAGCAGCACTTGTCATGAGCAGCACTTGTCATGAGCAGGAATTGTCATGGACATGAGCAAGACAAATGCCTTTCTCTTTCCTGCTATCATCACTCTCATCTCGTGCTTTCCACAATTGTGCATTGACACTGACGGCTGGCTATTACTAGGGACGCCCATCCCATCAGGTTCGCTTACTATGCTCATTATGTTCCTTACGCTCCTCACCGCATCAAGCTCACTTGGACTTCAGTAAGGGTCAATAATGAGGTTCTACAAGAGTCATGATGCAGGAGGGGGTGGGTAGGGTAGAGGCAGGGCAATGGCTTCCCTAAGTTAAAGCTCTCAAAAGGCATCACATACAGAAAGAAGATTGGCAGAGATGGAAAACTGTTCTTACAACAAGGTGAGATTGGTGAGGCGGACGATGGATGTCGGCATTGCGCCGGTAATTTTGTTCTTGTGAAGAGATCTATCCGGGCACCGCAAGAGAAGGGGCGTATGGGGAGCAAGTGGCGTGGACACAAGGTTATAGGGAGCAGTGCGCAAGCAACACATCCACTAGGTACGTCTCCTCCAATATACCAAATGCATGCCATTTTGGGCACAACAAGGTGCATACACGAGGATATTTAGAGCAGTGCACAAGCAACGCAGCGACTAGGTAAGTCTCCTCCTACTAGGTACGTCTCCTCCTCCATGCCAAATGCGTACCTTTCTGGGAAAAACAAGGTGCATACACTGTTGGAATCTCATATTTTATACGTGTAGTCATTTGTTGTATTGGGGGGTTGATGGGTGTACCCCCCAACCACAACTTGTGGTTGGTCAAGATTGGATTTGGTCCTTGGTCCTTGGTTGACACTTCCCAGCTATTGGTCCTTAGCCCAACCAATCACAATCAACTCACAATTGAGGCTGCTTGGGCTAAAAGCCAACTCACCCATTGGCCAACTTAGAGGCCAATAAAGTTAGCTTCTCTTGCACTCATCTCTTGCTCATTGCTTGTATTATAGAGCCTCTTGGCTCATTACCCAAGTCAACTTATTGATTTCTAACATACACGAGGTTATATACAGCAGTGCACAAGCAACGCAGCGACTAGGTACGTCTCCTCCTCCATGCCAAATGCGTGCCGTTCTGTGCAACAAGGTAGGTGCATACACGAGGTTATTTAGAGCAGTGCATGTTGGTGGGTCAACAGATTCACTGCTCACCAGGTTTAACGCTCGGGCGAGGCGGGTTGGTGAGCAAAGAAAAACAGAGGCAGGAAACAAACTTGGGGATTCAATTGAGTGAGGAGAGGGGGAGGATGTGGTGGTGAGGGAGTTGGGTTTTGTTTGGGAGGTGAAAAAAGACAAGTTGGTTTTTCCGGCGTCGCCAAAAAGTCCTGCAGTTTTTGTTTTGTTTTGTTTGTTTGCTTGTTTGTTTGTTTGCTTGTTTGTTTGTTTGTTTGTTTGTTTGTTTGTTTGTTTGTTTGTTTGTTTGTTTGTTTGTTTGTTTTTTTGTTTATTTGTTTGTTTGTTTGTTTGTTTGTTTGTTTGGGGGGGGGGCAAGTTTTTGGGAGGTATGTGGCTTATCGCATCGCATGTGGTACGTATGACATGGCATGGTCGATGGATGAGGTGAGATACGGAAGCTTACAGGAGTGAGAGGGCAGCCAGGTCAGCAATGCCTTCTGGGATGGAGCCTGACAAAGTGTTGAAACTGAGAGTTCTGCCATGCCAGCCAGATGGGGAAAGGGGGGGGGACAGGGAGAAATATCATGTCATGCAATGTCATGTCATGTCGTATTATGTTGTGTGATGCATTGTTATGTCATGTCATGTCATGTCATGTCATGTCAAGGGGTCGCATGGCATGGTAGCACAGCAGCCAGAGCCAGAGCTCTAGCAGTGAGTTGTTGGACTATGAGCCTGCACCATCCATCCTACCATCACCATGCGTATGTACCATGACCGTGTAGGGAAGTTGAAACTCGCTGCAACCCTTCATGTAGTCACACACACCTCAACGCAAAACAAGGGTGAATTGAGTCTACTAAAAACAGGTGTGATAATGTGACTTTAGTATAATTTCTCAGAACTGGTGTTTAATGAGTTTATTAAAGACAAGTGTGAATCGAGTCTACTAATTAAAGGTGTGAACTGAGTCTACTCAAAACTTGTGCGAATTAAGTTTATTCACAACAGGTGCAAATTGAATCAACTCAAGACACATTCATCCTATCATCATCATGAGTGTGTCCATGATTTAGAAACTTAAGAGGTACCATTTATGCAGTTAGGTGGCTTTTAATTCGAGGTGACGTTTGAGTAGACTCAAAAGCGAACCTCCACTTTCCATCCTACCATCACCATGCGTGATTACCATGACCTTGTAAAGAACTTGAAAGAAGCTCACCGCTGCCCTCAGTGGAATTGCCTGTAGCATGGTGAGTGAGGTGAGGCAGCGGTGAGTCGAGACATGATGGCTGGAACCTCCGCCTCAGTTGAAACTCACCGCTGCCTCGGTTGAAACTCACCGCTGTCTCAGTTGAAACTCACCGTTGCCTCAGTCGAGACTCACCGCTGTCTCAGTTGAAACTCACCGCTGCCTCAGTTGAAACTCACCGCAGCCTCAGGGAATTTGGCTGTAGCATGGCCTAAGTGCTACTCACATTTCTTGTAAGCAGGTGAGGCGAGACATGGTGGCTGGCAGGGAGCCGGTGAGCTTGGTGCTTGAGAGGTACCTGGATAAAGAAGGGGTGTTGTATGTTGGGCGGGTAGGGAGGCAAACGAGTGCTGTTCTGAGACAGCAGGAGGGCCAAGAACCCGGGAGGCTCGCATGCATGGCATGGGAACGGTTGGCATTGAGGTTGTATGGCAGGCGTGTGAGGCAAAAGGGGAATCAGAAGGGGTTGAATATGGCCGAGTGGAGTCAGACCAGGCATGGGTGGGTGCATGAAACTCATAGTTGCATGCTTTGATGCATCGCCCCACACGCACAGGAGCGTGGTTTCACAAAACATGGCATTACATGGCATGGCGATACATGGCATGGCATTACATGGCATGGCATCACATGGCATGGCATGGCATCACATGGCATGGCATGGCATCACATGGCATGGCATGGCATTGGCATTACATGGCATGAACTACATGGCATGGCCCCGCATTGCATGGACTATCAAGGCATGCGCTTGCGTGTCATTCATGATCTCAAATGCGTTCGCATAGCATAGCCTCGCATAACATGCTGGGTCATACAGTTGAGTGAGTGCGGTGAGGTTCCCAATGGCATCTGGAATGGGTCCCTCCAATTGCTTGCCAGTCACCTTCCTACAGGAGGGCATGGGGGAATGGGGGGGCATGGGGGAATGGGGGGGCATGGGGGAATGGGGGGCCATGGGGGAATGGGGGGGCATGGGGGAATGGGGGGCCATGGGGGAATGGGGGGGCATGGGGGAATGGGGGGGCATGGGGGGCGTGGGGGTCATCATGGGGGGAAATTGGGGGTGTGGGGGGCATTGGAGGCATCATCAGGGGGGGCATGGGGGCACGGGGGCATGGGGCCATGGGGGCATGGGGTGGGGGCATGGGGGCATGAATGCACGAGGAGCATGAGGGCATCGGACTGGGGGCATGAGGGGGCGGGGCATGGGGGGCTTGGTGCTGCAGGGGGAGGGGGGTGGAGGAGGTGGGGGGGGGGGGGGGGGGGGAAGGAGGAGGGGGTAAGCACCGTGCTGTGCTCTAATGAGGTGCCTTAAATGTGGGATCCAGGAACTGTGCTGTGCTGGCTGGATGGGTGCATTGGCTCAAGGCATGCGTGCAGTATGGCAGTATGACGTGATAACCAGCTTGCACTGTATGCATGGCCGTCCAGCCTACAAGCATGGTCCAGCAGGCATGGTCCAGCAGGGATGGTCCAGCAGGCATGGTCCAGCAGGGATGGTCCAGCAGGGATGGTCCAGCAGGCATGGTCCAGCAGGCATGGTCCAGCAGGCATGGTCCAGCAGGCATGGTCCAGCAGGCATGGTCCAGCAGGCATGGTCCAGCAGGGATGGTCCAGCAGGGATGGTCCAGCAGGCATGGTCCAGCAAGTTCATGGCTTTCCACAGTCACTTCCCCCTGGATGCCCACACAGCAGACCATCCAGCTTTAGATCATGAATCTAACCAGAAGATCCATTGAAAAAAGAGGAGGAAAGGGAATGGAGAGGGGGTCAGGGAGAGTGGGGGGGAGTGGGGGAGAGGGAGACCAGGGAAGTGCAGGGGAGGGGAGAGGTGAAGGCGTGCAGGGCGCACAGTGAGACGATGAAGCCAGCCGCATTGCAGCGCACGCCCTCCACCTGCGCGCAGTCCCCCCCCTTGCTCCACCCGCGCAGCTGCGCCTGCCACTGCCCCTGACACTCCGCCAGCACCGCCGCTGCGGGGAACAGAAGCGGAGGGAGGAGAAGGGGGTGGATTGGAAGGAGCAAGGGGAAGCAGGGTTGGGAGTCGCAGGGGGGAGCAGGGTTGGGAGTAGCAGGGGGGAGCAGGGTTGGGAGTAGCAAGGGGGAGCAGGATTGGGAGGAACAGGGGGAATCATCCTCCCAAGTTGGGAGAGCAGGATTAGGAGGCAAAAAGAGGGAGGATAAACGGAGAAGAGAAGGCACGGAGGAGGAAAGGAGGTGGCTGGGAGGAGAGGGCGGCAGTGGATGACGATGGATGCACAGGCGGAGAGGGTAGCGAGGGGAAGTTCACGATTAGAAAGCATTCACCACAAACAAACTGTGGTGTGCGCCTCGCGTAACGCGTCAACCGCGTTTCAGCTCGAGTCGCACGCCGGAACCGAAACCTAGTTGTCTCATCCGCACCGAACACTGTTCGGTTGCGGTTGGACATTTTAGGATTCGGAAATGTCTTCTCTACATTTCCCAAACCCTATTCTTCCACCATTCCGTTTTCCCTTGCTTTCCTCGCGTTTTCCTCCTTGGCTCCTTAGTTTCCAGCCCCACCGTTTAGCACATGAGGTCGACATTTCCCACCGTTCCTAGTGTACCGTCCCCAGGTCAAGCGCGTAGGCCGGTAGGCACTATGGCAGTGGCGAACAACCCTAACAGTGGGTAGCGAGGTGTTACAGTTTGGGAGTGTGGCAGCGACGTGTTTCTCTCCGCGGGCTTCCTATCCCAAAAGCACAGCTTGTTTAGACCGTATACTTCCCCTTGCTTCCTAGGATTGCGTGGAGGCCAGGGTGAAAACTTTTCATTTGAAATGCGTGACGCCACGGGACGAGCGGGACGCCTTCTGCGGAAGCTGGAGAGACGCAGCGGCGGCGTAACCCGCGCATCTCATTGAGAAAGAGGCGAGAGGCCGTGAAGGCTGGTGTGCCGCGCAAATTTTGAAGGTCTGAAACCCTACCGGCGGGTAGGCGGCGCGCGGCATATGTACGGGTATAGATTTGTGACGTGCACTAGAGGCAGCCGCGACCGACCTTGAGAAGGGTTAAGCCGCGTTACGACAGCCGAGGACGGTGAGGCGACGGGCAGTATGAATACGATGAGAAGAACGACGACTCTAGGCGACGTTGCCATGGCGGATGCATCTTGCATATTCTGACTGGTCTATGTTTCTGGTAAACAGAAACTATTGTAGGATATCAAGGCTCCGTGTGTACGGTCTCGAACCCCACACCAAAGTCAACCGGGAAAGCTTACGTTCGGAAACGACCTAACGTAAGTCAATGTTCGGTATGGTGAACAAGATCCCACAGGTTTGACGGACTACACGAACACCATTGTTCGCTTGTTACGAAACGCGATAAAGCACACTTTTTTACTGACTGTTTGCGCGTTCTCTTCAACACATAAGTTATTAGGGCCTAAATTTCTTTTTACTAACCTCGTTGTTCACCTCGGGCTACTTACTGTCTGTTCGCTTTTGAATTGATAATTCTTTCCGTTTGCTGCCCATGTCAAATAAATCAGTGGAAAATAAAGTACGGTACGTAGGTAGATCAGAGGTCCTTAACCCCGTTGTAAGTTGCTTCTAACGACCCTCTAGGGGCCTTTAAACGAGGACAGCACCAGAACCACGGATTGCCAGATCCAAACACCCCCTTCAGAGCTCTAGACACCTCCGAACCGGAGCGATTGAACAAACTCAACCAAACCCCATCTCCACAAGGCCAACTAGTCCCATCTCTCCTGCCTGAATCCATTACTCTCGCCGGCACTATCCTTTTTGGCCCATCCCACATCACCTTGTTATTCCCTGCTCCTTTCTTCGCCTTTAATGCATCTACATAACCCCCTTCTCCAGATAGAATGAAGTCCAGCTGCTGGTACAGTAACAGCGAGACAGAAATCCCTGTGCCAAGTGCGACTATAAAGAGGTAAAACGCGATGAACGCCCGGATCGGGAGTTGCTTCCGGGCAGCCCAAAGGGCAGCGGCAAAAGCTTTTGTGGCGGTGGAGACGAAAGAGGTGAGGTCGTGAGGGGGCGTGTGGGGCATGTGAGGGGTGACGTCGAGTGCGGGGAGGAGGAGATAGAGTGTGGTTGCAGTCATTAGGGCGACATAGGTGCAGCTGATGATGGTGGAGAGGAGGAAGAGCAGGAAGTGCCTCTGATTGGCCCGACCCACACAGTTGCCGATCTGGAGTGGTGGGAATGGGAGAGTGGGGGGGGGAAGGGGGAGGGGGGAAGACGAGAGGGAGAGATGCGAAGGATAGAAGAGAGGCACAGACGATGTTTGAGTGAGTGAACAAACACACGCAGGAACTCACAAATGGGCAGTGACGGTCCATGCTCAGAATGCACGTGCCACAGCTGCTGCAGAGGTGCTGATGACGATGGTGTTGCTGATGCGAATGATGATGCCGATGATGATGCCGATGATGATGCCGATGCGGAAGCTGGTGGTGATGCTGACAATGGTGTTTGAGTCACAAGCTACATAGCAAGGCACGCAGGTACTCACGAAGGGGCAGTGGTGGTCCATGTCCATCACGCACGTGCCGCAGCAGCTGCAGTGGTGATGGCATTGTCAATCAATGTATGGTTCACCACTACCATCCTAGGGAGGCAGGCACCTCAGGAGGAAGGCACCTCAGGAGGCAGGCACCTCAGGAGGCAGGCACCTCAGGAGGCAGGCACCTCAGGAGGCAGGCACCTCAGGAGGCAGGCACCTCAGGAGGCAGGCACCTCAGGAGGCACATGGTACTCACGAAGGGGCAGTGATGGTCCATGTCCATCACGCACGTGCCGCAGCTGCTGCAGTGGTGCGCACCGGGAGGCTTGGCTCGGGGCGGGTCGCAGCGGCGGCACAACTGCCAGCCGTCAAACGAACCTGAGAGGCAAAGGGGAACCCACCCACCCAGCCATGCATGCATGGGTGTGGGAAGACATGGGTGTGGGAAGCCATGGGTGTGGGAAGACATGGGTGTGGGAAGCCATGGGTGTGGGAAGACATGGGTGTGGGAAGACATGGGTGTGGGAAGACATGGGTGTGGGAAGACATGGGTGTGGGAAGACATGGGTGTGGGAAGACATGGGTGTGGGAAGACATGGGTGTGGGAAGACATGGGTGTGGGAAGACATGGGTGTGGGAAGACATGGGTGTGGGAAGACATGGGTGTGGGAAGACATGGGTGTGGGAAGACATGGGAAAAGGTAAAGCATGTGAAAGAGAGGCACGGTTGGTGTGGGCAAGGAAATGCATGGAAAAAAGGGCATGTGATTAGGGATTTGTTATGTGGGATGTGCACTGTTGTAGGTGTGATGTGATGTGTTGTATTAATTGGGATGTGCAATGTTGTGACACGTGATGGGATCATGGGAACATCACTTGAGAGAAGTCAATGCACATCTGGCGGCTAAATAAAAGGCATCACAGTTCAATTTCTGTTATGATACAGGCAGTAAGGACTTGGGAAGCTCATAACCGGAGAGCAGTACCTTAGTGGTGGTACCCTTGTTCAGACGTACCTGCTGATACAGTTGGCATGTCTGCAGAGCCGAAAGCAACACGAGTGACTGGGCCGGCCGGGAAGAAAGCGGAGCAGAGGAAGTTGAAGACAGTTTGAAGGGAGAGGAGGAGCGTGATGAGGGAGTGCAGGAGGAAGGGGAGTGACACGGGCAGGAGACGAGGAGGAGGGGGGTAGCGGTGGGAGAAGGGAGGGTGGAGGGGACAGATGACGGGGAAGGTGGTGAGGATGCCGCCAACTGGATACGGGAGGGAGGGGAGAGAAGACAAGAAGAGTGAGAAGAGGCAAAAGATAGAAGGTGGATGGGATAGGTGATGAGGAATCTGTCTGTCGTTGAAGCGAACCAAAAACAGAGGGGAGCGTGGTGAGGAACGTGGTGAGGAACGTGGTGAGGAACGTGGTGAGGAACGTGGTGAGGATGCCACCAACTGCAGACGGGAGGGAGGGGAGGAGAAGGGCAGGGTAGTGGTGACAGAAGGGCAGGGATGGAAGGAGAGAGGAAGAGGGGAAAGGTATGTTGGAGTGACTTTTGAGAATTCTCAAAAGTCACTCCAACATGGGATGGAAGGAGAGAAGAAGAGGGGAAAGGAGCAGATCGGAAGGAATGACGGGGGGTGAGGAGATGTTACAGCTGTCAGTGGGTGGAGGAGAGTGAATGACGATGGGGAGGCAGGGGGTGAGATTGCCAGCAAGTGCTAAGGCAGGGCGGAGAGAGAGGAGATGAGGGAATTGGAGACGAGGGGAAGGGAGGAGCTGACGGGGAGAGGGAGAATGGATAGGAGAGGGTGGATGCATATGATAAAGGGTTGATAGGAGAGGCGATGGAAACAGTGGTGGACATATGAAACAATATAATATATATATATATATATATAAAAAAAGGCAACAGCACCCACCCACACCTTTTTGTGCTCACCAATAATGAACGTGATGAGAAGAATGACCACCGTCAGCACCAGCATGTCCCATGCTGCGATACACGCTCTGCACCTCCTCCTCCTCAACGGCTTCTCCGACTCTGTAGCAGACTTAGATGCAGGGGAGGAGGAGGAGGAAGGAGCAGCAGTGGAGGAAGCGGAGGGGGAGGGGGAGGAGTGGAGATGGAGCGTGAGGGCGCCACAGTAGCCGCATTTGAAGTTGGGGGAGAAGGAGGGGAGGGAGAGGCAGAGGCCGCACGCCCAGCACAGCACGTCATAGCTCGCCCCATCTGTGCTCTCCACGTCCCGATACTCTGCCCGTTGCTGCTGCCCTGCCTGCTGCCGTTGCTGCTGCTGCGTCCCTGGCTGCTGCTTCTGCTGTGATGGGTGCTGCTGCTGCTGCAATTGCTGCTGGTGCTGGTGGCGGAACGGCGGTTGCTGTTGCAGCTCTGGGCCGTGAAGATGGTGCAAAACGACTGGGCTCGAGGCACCGCCTGGAACTGGAACTGCTGGGGCCGGGAATGAGCCCAAGCCCAAGCCCAAGCCCGGGGTTGGGGTTGGGGTTGGGGTTGGGGTTGGGGCTGACAGCTGGTCAAAGTGAAGGCGCTTGGGAAGCAGTGGCAGCGAGTCTTGGCCTCTCAACCCCCCTCGGTCTGTCACCTCTCGTCTTCCCTCTAACCCCACCCCTGCACAACTCCCAATATCACCGCTCCCAACACCAGAGCGCCCGTTGCCTTCAGCAGTAGCAGCACCCCTGGGAACTCCAGCACTTGCAGGAGAGGCGGTCGGGGCACCACTGGAAACTGCACTCTCGGGCAACCATGCTTCAGGAGCAGCAGCAGCAGCAGCAGCAACCCCTCCGCTTGCTCCGCCTGACCCTGCTGTCTTCCCCCGGTTGTGCACGGACTGGCCTGGCGACCTGTTGAAGGACGAGGACTGGGGTGGGGGGGAGAGGTGGGGAGGGAAAGGGGGAAATGGGGGGGAAAGCTGGGGAAAGGTGGGGAAAGGTGGGAAAAGGGTAGGTCTTCTGCAGCTGTCTTCCCCCGGTTGTGCACAGATTGGCCTGATGACCTGTTGAGGGATGAGGACTGGGGGGGGGGAGGTGGGGGAAGGGCGATTGGGGGAATGGTGGGGAAAAGGTGAGCGCCCGGCTGTCTTGTCCTGGTTGGGCGTTGTTGAAGGATGAGGGCTGGGGGGACAGAGGCGGGGGGGAGAGAGGCGGGGGGGAGAGAGGCGGGGGGGAGAGAGGCGGGGCGGGAAAGAGGCGGGGGGGAATGAGGAAAGCGGGCGAAAGGCGGGGGAGAGGTGGAGGAGAGTAGGGGGAAGGCAAGGCCATAAGGCCGGAAATGACGGGTGAAGTTACATGGGGGATTTGGGAATGGGAGACGAAGGGCGAGGAGTCAGAGGGGGATGAGAGCGAGAGACAAAGGGTAGGGCAGGAGAGGGGATTGGAAGCGGGAGAAGAGGGGTGAAGCTGCAAGGAGGAATGGGAGCGGGAGACGAGAGCGCGACAGCGACAGCTATGGTTAGGAATAGCGTGACGGCAGGTAGCGGGGGAAAGCGGGTATTAAGTTGGCTCGAAACGGGGGAAATCGTATGCGGCAAGTGGAGGATGGGCGTGAAGAAACCGAGATTACGGAAAGCGGGACGGCAGTAGCGGGAGGGGACCGAGAAAGGCAGTCGATAGGCTTGGATTGGAACCTGCCGCGTTAGAGTCCCGAAATGTCTTACCATTACGGAAGTAACCCTACGCCCCGCTCCACGAACTTCCGCTGCATCCACTCTAAAATCGTAGAAGCTTTACGTTGATGAAATCACATCAACAGGAGGGGATGTTGAGGCTGCTCCGCAAAGGACGTGTTCACTTCGAGCTGTTTGTTTGCGACCCACGATGACTCCCCTGTAAGGTTTCCTGGTTACCTGAAAGAAACCATTGAACGAAACTCATTTGGGGAAGCAGGAACTCTCGTTGTGCTTTACGAAATTTCGATCGCATCAACCCCTGACCTGCCCTGACTTCCAAAGCCAACAAACACATCCCCCGTAAAACTGCTCATTCATCCGTCCTAACAACCGATTAGCATCAGGTTGGCATTAGACAGCGTTATCGTCGGTTCTGTAGGTTTCCAGCATGAAAAGCCTAGTTATAGTACGGTTTAAAGATCTACACAACCAGACATCCACCCTCCAACTACGTGTTGCGGCTCAGGTTCATGGATTCACGCGACCCGACCCAACCCGATTGGGTGCAATGGGTTCTGTCAAGGCTGACCCGACCCAATCCAATCGAGCTGGATTGCAACACGTCGTAAATTGTTTACCGACGCCCATGTCGAAGCCACATCGCTCGTGCAGCTAGAATAGTAATCACGCGTTATTATTCCACGATCGCTGCTCCTCCGGAACGTCAGTAGGGCGTGACGAATGTGAACCGCCACCGTATTCTTTGCGCTGGGCCCGCGGAACACTAAACCCAGCGCTGCTCGACCGCGCCAAGCAGTAATCGTCACGCGCGGCGCGCGCACTGCCCGGCAGCATGGCGGCACCGCCATTGGTGTCGCCCGCGGCGCTGGCCGCCCTGGAGAGCGAAGGCTGGCACGTCTCCCCGCACGCGCTGCTCGCACTGCTCGCCGCGAAACCCCCCTCCGCGGACGGCGGCGCACCGGATCCGCAAGCCCCCGCCTCCGCCGCTTCCGCGTCCTCGGCCGGGCAGCCACTTGGCGCGCCGCAGAGCGCGCCGATGTCGGCGCAGCAGGTGCGCGCGGCGGCGCTAGACCTGGACCTCCGGCGGTTCGGCGAGGCGTGCTTGCCGGACGACGTGAACCGCGCCGAGTACCGCCGCCTGTCGGGGAGGCTCGTCGTGCAGGTGAGTCCGTAGCCCTTGCCTTCCGCACCCCTCTCTTCGCACTCCCCTTGCTCCCCGCGCTTTCTTTGTTCCCCTACGCCCCCCTTCACTCCCCGTGCTCCCCCCTTGCTCTCCGCGCCCCCCTTGCGCCCTCCTTGCGCCCCGCCAGGTGGTCTCAGCCGTGAACGTGTGCGAGCCCAGGGGCGGGGAGGACGCTGACTCACCTTGCTCTGCACTCCCTGCGCTCCCCCTGCTGCCCGCGCCCCTCTCTCTCCCCGCCAGGTAGTGTCAGCCGTGAATGTGTGCGAGCCCAAAGGCGGGGAGGACGCTGAGTCAGCCGCCGCTGCTGCTGACGAGGACGACCGCTGGGATGACGACAACAATCCGCCCGCCCCCACTGCTCCCTCTGCTGCTGCTGCTTCCGCTGTTGGTGTGGATGGGCTGGGAGGGCGAGGTGCTGTGGGTGGCAGTGGGGGGCGAAGGCTGCTGCGCGTTCGGGTGACGGACGGCAAGAGGAATGCGAGTGCTGTGGAGATGCACCCCTGCCCGCACGTGCCCGCTGCTCTCGCTCCAGGCACCAAGGTACTTTGTCTCAACTCAACACCAACGCTCCCTGCATCACTTTGACTTGACAGATTCTTTTGTCCTCATGTGCCGGCCGCTCTTGCTCGGGGCCAAGGTGGTTTCGTTGGACAAGCCCCATGCATGCATGCAACGCCTTTCGAGCAGGACTCAGTTTTCATCGGTCGCGCTAGTGGCAGTGTGCATGCAGAGACAGCAACCGCGCATTTCGGCTACCGGTGGAGCTACAGTCAAAATTCAGCGCTCTTTTTTCTCCAGAAAAGCAAGTAACGAAGGGCACGTGTCGCTCATTCCCTCTCCCTGCCTCTTTGCCTTCCTCCCACCTTTCCCCTCAGCTGCTCATCACGGCCCCCACCATCCGCCACGGCTTCATCCTGCTGGACCCTCACTCTGTGCAAGTGCTGGGCGGCCGTGTCTCCCCCCTCTACGACGAGTGGGACATGCAGCGACGCTACTCCCTCCTCCCCGGCCTCACCCCCTCCGCCGCCGCCTCCTCCTCTGGCCACTCTGCCCGCTCCGCCCGTGCCTCCCCCGCCTCCTCCTCCTCGCTCTCCGCCTCCTCTCTCCCTGGTGCCTCTGCCGGCCCGCCTCCCTTCCGCGGGGTCACAGACGTGCGCCTGCAAGCAGCGCCAGCTGTCACGACTGCCACCACACCTGCCGGCACACATGAGTCTGGAGCAGCAGGCGGGGGGCCGGCAGGAGGGCGTGGGGGTGAGGCCAGTGCTGCCGGCTCTGCCCCTGCAGCAGCGGCAGCAACGGGAGCAGCAGGTAGTGCAGTGAGAGAAGGGGGGGGAGGGTCGGCAGAGGCGGGGGAAGCAGGGGCAGCAGCAGAGGCAGCGAGGGAGAGGGCGGTGGAGCGGGCGAGAGTTGAGGCTGCTGCTGCTCTCAAACACGCTGCTCCCCACGACAGGAGCGCTTCCAGGAAGCTTCTGGAGAAGATGGGGGAGGAGCAGGGGCGAGGCAGGGGCAGGCGGGGTGGGCGTGGGGGAAGGGGGAGGGGGAGGAGGGGCCGGGAGGAGGAGGAGGAGGAGGGGACGATGACACTAGAGGAATATGAGGCGAGGAAGGCTATGGGGACGCAAGGAGGGGGACGAGGGGTGGGGGGGTTGACGGGAGGAACGGGAGGGATGGGAGGAATGGGAGGGATGGGAGGAATGGGAGGGATGGGAGGAATGGGAGGGATGGGAGGAATGGGAGGGATGGGAGGAATGGGAGGGATGGGAGGAATGGGAGGGATGGGAGGAATGGGAGGGAGTGGAGGGAGAGTAGATGTAAGCAGTACAGCACAAGTAATGTCAGATGAGGAACTTGCGAGGAAGTTGCAGGCGCAGTTGGATATGGAGGACATGGGGGGTTTTGTAAGTTGCACACCCTTTGCTCTGCTCTTCTTTGTCCCTTTTCCTGTGGCCGCTCCATACCCACTCGCTCGTTTACCCACTCTCATGCCCCTCCATCTCCTGCCGTCACCCCTCCATCTCCTGCCGTCACCCCTCCATCTCCTGCTGTCACCCCTCCATCTCCTGCTGTCACCCCTCCATCTCCTGCTGTCACCCCTCCATCCCACTGTCACCCCTCCATCACTGTCACCCGTCCATCTCCCACTGTCACCCCCCATCTCCCACTGTCACCCCCCATCTCCCACTGTCACCCCACTCTATCTCATTCCCTCCATCTCCCACTGTCAACCCCCACCTCCTCGCCCTCCCCAGGCACACGCAGCCCACACGCATCCACACGCGCACCACACGCCTCCCACTGCCACGTCAGCATCGGAGCAGCTGCGCCAATCACTGTTCAGCTTCCAACCAGCAGCTGAGCCCGAGGGGAGCTACGAAGGGGGCAGGGGCGGGCGGGGCAGACGGGGGAGGAGGGGCGGAGGGTTTGGAGGGAGCAGCAGTGGCAGATACGGGGGTAGAGGGGGAGGGAGAGGAGGCAGAGGATGGTAATACTCCAGTGTTGAGACGTCCTAAAACTAGCAGAGGGGGGCGGGGCAGGCGGGGGAGGAGGGGATGGTGTGGAGGCGGTACGAGTTGTAGATACAGGGGGAGGCAGAGCGGGAAACAGAGGGTGGTAATATTTTTCAGCTCGATGAAGAGGATTTTTTGCACTAGAATCACACCTCTTTATTGTCTCATACTAGTTTACATTGAAACATTGGCTTGGCGGACCCATGGTGCACCTAAGATTAAATCCGTGGGATTACAGTGTTATCTGGTTACGCAGTATTTCATGCCGATGGCACTCTTGGGGGGTCTTGATGCTGAATACCATAGGAACTTTTGCATGAACACACCTATGAATCGTTTAGGATAGATCAAGTTGGTTGCATGAATCGTTTAGGATAGATCAAGTTGGTTGCAATATTGAAGTGGACATAAGTGTGTTATAACCTCAAATCAAGAAAGTATTGCACCGAGACGCTCACGCGAACTTGAGAATGGGGATGGAATGCCATTGAATCTGTAAGGAATTTTCCCGAATTCCTTATCGGGGTTGACTGCTTCGCGTACAACCCGATTTTCGGAGTTAGCACGTTCTGCCGATTTCAACGCTGCCGAGGCTCCTCGCGTCGCCTTCGGCATTTCCATCGCCAAACTTGCACCCAACCTCGTCTTCCGAGGTTTCCTCCTAGCTAGGCTAGCCCTACATTAGTCTGTGCATTCATTGTATTCTCAGTTGATTCAGTCACAGTCTCGTTATTCGTTTACCTGCGCACTCTCTTTTACAACTCATAACATCTGGTATCAGAGCTACTGTCCTAGTTCACCCCGCTTTTCCGAGGGTAGTTTGGTGGCATAGGGTGTGGCTGGTTTAGTGACTACACGACGGTTGGCTGCAAGGATTGTTAATTCAATCCTGCCCGACTCCGATAGTTCGTGTTTTCACTTGCCTGAAGGCCACGGAGACCCGACTGCCCACCAGACGTAGCGCTAGGCACATGGATCAGGAGGCTGTTAACCGGATGATGGCGCAAGTGGCAGAGATGCAGGAGAGCATGAAGACATTAATGGCGGAAGTGACAACACTACGAGAGGAAAACGCCGAGCTACACCAGACGCGAGGTGAAGCGCGTCAGGAGTCGCCTGTGGACGAAGGCGAGGGCAACTGTCAGGCGATGAGCAACCCACTGGATGCTCTCACACGTGACTTCGAAGAAGAAGATAGGCAGCGAGCGGCAGCAGCGCCAGTTGCAGTTACGACGATCAAGATCAAGCCCGTCAACCCGCCCCCGTTTAATCCTACGGACAAGACAACTACAGTGAAGGGGTGGCTGTTCGATGTCGAGGTCTTCTTCACGGGAGCAGGCGTTAACGACGATGCCACGCGTATCAATTACGCGGTTTCACTTCTTCGGGGCGCGGCGCTTGAGTGGTGGCGCCGGACCTTGGAAACAGGGACTCCGACAAGTGTGACACATGCGGCAGACGGGACCTCTATAGTGGTTAATCAAGTGGCAGAACCGATCTTCGGTGTGACCAAGATACGCACGTGGAAGGAGTGGGGCGCAGCCTTACGAGATCGCTTCGAGCACGTATCTGCCTCGGAGCAAGCTCGCATGAAGCTGCGTGCATGGTCGCAGATGGCTTCTGTCCAAGACTACACGGCGTCATTTATGGGCTTCGCCGACCAGATCGATGACATGTCGGAAGCAGAGCGGTTGGATAAATACGTCAACGGCCTTAAATATGAGATACAGTTTGAGGTCCGCCGAAGCCGCCCGACATCGTTCCTCGAAGCAGTACGCGTGGCGGAGTCAACTGATGCGCTGATGTAGTACGCGAGAGCAGCTTCCAGGGATGGGAGAAGCTTTCGTGGCCAGACCCATCGGGCCACGATTAACGCCCTCCATACACCCGTCCGCCCTCCTAAGGGTCCGTGTTTTCGGTGTGGGAAGGTGGGTCACTACAGGAAAGACTGCCAGGAGAAAATGCCGCTGACATGGGACGACAGGAAGGAGCAGGGAAATGGGAAGAGTCAGTAATTAGCGGGCCCTTTACTGACTGTGCTCCGTCGCCCGAACACTATCATCCCCACCGAGTCGTGGTTCCGATTCATGCAATCGATCGCACTCGGCCGAATAACGGGGATAATCATGTGGATCACCATGTGCTGGTCGCTGGCAAGGTGTTAAAAAATAATCTGAAAATGTTCGTCGATGGGGGGGCCAGCCATAGCCTCTTCAACTTGGCGAGCGCAAAAAGATGGAAGCTGCAACTTGACAGGTGTCTGCCCAAAATTGACGCTCGCCTCGTGGATGGGACGCCTCTGGCGATAACGGAAGAAACACGGACGGTCAGGATCGACTGCGGCGACGATTTCGGCTTCAGCATGAAGTTTCTCGCGACAACATTGGACGGCTGCGACGTACTGCTGGGACGTGATTGGCTGCGACGGCACAACCCCGTCATCGACTGGACAACGGGATTGTGCAGCATCAGCAAGCACGAGGGGTTAATAAAATTACCTGCATGGACACCTGACTACATCCAAGCCCCGTGCGTCAAAGCTATCACTATAGCTCGCCACTTCAACAGAGGCGCGCAGCTGTTCGCTGTTTGCTTACGCGAGTTGGCAATCGACACCGAGGGAAAGGACATCGAGAAGCTGTGTGCAGCTGTACCACCGGATTTAGCGGAGCTGATTCGGAGGTACCCGGACATTTTCCCCGACGACTTGCCACCTGGACTGCCACCCGAGAGACCTGAGGACCACAAAATCCAGCTGGAACCTAGCGCGCAGCCGACTGTTCGGACACAGTGGCAGTTGACCCAGCCGGAACTCGAGGAGCTGCGAAGTCAAATTGATGCACTGTTGGAGAAGGGGTTTATTCGGGCCAGCACATCTCCCTTCGCAACACCGATCCTGTTCACTCCGAAGAAGGACGGCGGGCTTCGCATGTGTATCGACTATTGTGCGCTGAACCGGGTCACCATCAAGTCTCGCTACCCAATCCCACGCACCGACGACCTCCTCGACCAACTTCGCGGCGCTCGCTATTTCTCGAAGATTGACTTACGTGGCGGTTACCACCAGATCCGAGTCTTCGCCGACGACTGTCACAAGACTGCGTTTCGCACACGCTACGGGAGTTACGAATTTACAGTGATGCCTTTCGGCCTCACGAACGCGCCTTCGACTTTTCAATTGACCATGAACAGGGTTTTTCGGGATCTTCTAGACCGGTGTGTCATCGTCTACTTGGACGATATCCTCATTTTTAGCAAGACACGCGAGCAGCACCTCCGAGACCTGGATGCAGTGTTTAAAAGGCTGCAGGAAAACCGACTCATCACCAAGGGCTCTAAGTGCGAGTTTTTTAAGCAGGAGTTGGAGTTTTTGGGGCACGTAATCTCGCGCGACGGCATTAAAATCGACCCGGCGAAAATCAAGACCATACAGGAGTGGAAGTCCCCGACGAACGTCACGGAACTCCAGAGTTTTCTCGGATTCGTGAATTACGTCCGGCGTTTTATCCCGAATATGGCGGGGATAACCGGCCCGCTGATCGACCTGCTGCACAAGGACAAAAATTTTGTGTGGGGGGAGGAGGCAGACGCGACTTTCCAGGAACTCAAGAATTTTCTCGTTTCCCCTCCTGTACTGCGCATCGCCGACCCGTCGAAGCCGTTCGAAGTTGTAACCGACGCCTCAGATTTCGCCATCGGAGCTGTGCTTCTCCAAGACTTCGGGAACGGATTGCAGCCGATAGCCTACGAATCACGCAAGCTGCAGGCAGCCGAACGCAACTATCCGATTCACGACAAGGAGATGCTCGCCATCATACACGCGTTTAAATTATGGCGATGCTACCTGGTAGGCGCCGACGTCACTGTTCGCACGGACCATAAGTCCCTGCAGTACCTGCGAGCCCAACCCAACCTCAACCCACGACAGATTAGGTGGCTGGATTACATGGAGAGCCACTTCACCTACCGCATCACGTACAAGAAAGGGGCGAATAACATCGCCGACGCCCTGACCCGACCGACAGTACAATCCGTTGCAGTACTCATCACCCATTCGAACCCGCTACTTACAGGACTATTCACCCACGGCTACACCACGAACCCATTCTTCACGACCGGGAATCATCAGCAGGCCACGACGCAGAAAGGGGATTATTACCTAAAAGCCGGAACCGACCGGATTTGGGTTCCCGCTTACCGGCTGCTGCGTGAACTTCTCATCCAGGAGGTTCACGATTCGAATTTCTCCGGACACTTCGGGGTTGATAAAACCCAGAAATTACTGCACCGTCAATATTATTGGCCTGAATCCTCTAACGACGTGCAGCGATATGTGTCGTCATGCAGGGTGTGCCAAGCTATGAAATCAACACGTGAACGACCAGCTGGGCTGCTGCAACCCCTCGAGCCACCCGAACGACCGTGGCAGCAAGTGACGATGGATTTCGTCACGGGGATGCCAGCTGGGCTGTCCGGCAACGACGCTGTTCTCGTCGTCGTCGATCGCTTCACGAAAATGGCGCACTTCGCACCATGCCAAACGACAATTACAGCCGAAGAAACTGCGCGACTTTTCATTTCCACGGTCGTGCGACTGCACGGCATCCCCTCGGCGATCATCAGCGACCGAGACCCGCGATTCACATCCAAGTTTTGGAAGGAGACGTGGGCGCAGTACGGCACGAAGCTACAGTTCTCAACGGCATATCACCCACAGACGGACGGTCAAACAGAGCGGACCAATCAGACCATGGAGCAGCTAATCAGGACAAACTGCCCCGACCCGGCCCGCTGGGAGGATTCACTCGCAATGTTGGAGTTTGCCTTCAACAACGCGCCGTCCAGCACAACGAATCACTCCCCGTTTTTCCTGAATTACGGGATGGACCCGACGTTTCCTACCGCAACTTCTCTCGACAACCCGGTCCCGAGGTCACAAAATTTTGTGACGGAACTCCAGGAAACCCGAGAAAAGGCCG